GGGACGCTGGAGGTGCCACCACGTCCCTCTGGGCAGCCAGGCTCAGGGACATCACATCCTCACTGTACATCACGGGGAGGTCAGGGAGAACCCATCGTATCCTCAGAGTCAGACAGGGTCACCCCCAGGGTCACATCTGATGCCTCTCCAGGCTTCTGGGCTTTGCCACCACGGGCTGACATCACAGCCCAACCTGCAGCTGTCAGAATTAATTGAGGAAACTCCAGCACAGTAAACAACGAGGAGGGAAAATGGGGCAGATTAGATAACAGGAAGGTTCTCCTTCGCTCCCCCTGCATGGAGCTCTTCAAGTCCCAGCCAGCAGTGCACAGCTTGGGTCGTGCTCCCTTCTTCTGCCAGGCTGGGGACAACTCCATGTCCCCAGGGCCGGGTCTTCTGTCCTCCTGCCCCAGCACAGCTCCACCTCCTGCTCTGGGGCTCCAGCAGCACACAAATGTGGGTGTTTGGGGTCTACATCCCCACTGATGGACATCTCTGCCCTTCAGATATCCCAGCTCTGCTCAGCTTCCTCCCCAGCAGGTCACCTCCACGAGGGCAGCAGGAGGCTGGGTGACACCATGCCACTCCATGGCGTGGTGGGAGCAGCACAGAGCACACCCAGAAACGTGTGACCACCTTCCCAGCCCAGGAGCAGGGCTGGCATCTGCTCCAGAAGCATCTGGGGACCCAGCATCATCATCAGCAAATCCCAAGGGCTGGGAGAGCAGCATCCCACCGCGGAAGGAATGCAGATGAGGAACACACTCAGCTCCCTCTGCTGGCACCTGCTCCAGTCCAGGCCCAGGAATCGTGGAGATTTCACTACTGCAGATGAAGATGTAAACAAAACAAGGGAACACACCAAGCTCTTAAGCCAGCCCTGATCCCATAATATTTGGTGGAGCAAGCAATGCTGCTGCTTACCTGTGCGTGCCACTTGCTGCTGCACTTGGTTTCCAGTGCATGCTTTTACTCAGCTGTTCTATGAATGGGATCCGTTTGAGATTAAGTTCCCTTAAATCATTTCTGTCTAAATTAATTCCCATTAATGCATGGGCTGAGCACACAAATTACAGCTTACAGCAAGCTTCCAAAGAAATCCTCCACCAAAAGCTGTTTCCACACATGGAAAGTGTGAGAAGGAGCCCCGCCTGGGGGGCAAAAATACCAGCAGAGCCACATGTGCACGAAGCACCAGGGATGATGCAGGATTTCCTTGTGCAGCCCCAGCAGTGAGATGACCTCCACTATAGCAATGGCAGCAGGTATCACAGCATGGCCTGGGTTGCAAAGGAGCACAGCGCTCATCCAGTTCCAACCCCCTCTGTGTGCAGGTCCCCAACCAGCAGCCCAGGCTGCCCAGAGCCACATCCAGCCTGGCCTTGAATGCCTGCAGGGATGGGGCATCCAGGAGTAGCCTGCCTGGGAGACAGCATGGGGAGGGAGGTGTGATCACACTGTCCTGCTCTGGTGAGCTTCTGACAGGTTGCAACCCTAAAGACAAACAGATTCTTTCAAGCAAATAAGCAGTCAATGAAAAGTTTGGTGGGGGGAGAGAAGGGGAGGCATCCCAACCTATCCAAACAGAGACTTGTTCTAAAGCCACCCGGGAGCACCCAGAGCTCAAGGGGTGCATTCTTTTCGTGGTGCAAAACAAACACCCATAGGCACAGATAGCAGGATGTCTCTTCCCCGTGAGGCTTTCAGTCAAGCTTAAACAGCACATGAGAGCTCCAGGCACTTATTCAAATGTTAAAAAGCAAACCCAGCACACACATATTGAGGTTTCTCGCAAGGATTAGTAACAAAGTCACATGTAAGCAAGAGATCAGCTTTACCTAAGCTGCTCCAGAATACAGTTTATATAGGCAAATGTTTCGGCTGGGTGCCCTGAGCAGCAAGGCCTGGCTTGGGAAATGCCACCAGCCCAAGTGACAGCGCAGTGCCTCCAAGGACCTCCGCATGCCCTCATCCTCATCCAAGGGGACACCAGGCACCTCCCTTAGTGCTTCTCCCCCAGCATCCCCTCCCCAGCTACCTGCACTGCACACCAGAGCAGCCCTAAGGGAGCCCCCCTGGGACGGGAGCTCCAGCACAGCCCCCCATCCCTCACAGGCTCTCCTCCCCCATCACCTTTCGCCACAAATGGACCTCAGCCACTTCTCACACCTTTACCCAGGCTGGGGAGTTTGATTAACTCAGCACACACTGAATTCCTTCTTTTTAAAGCGAGTTGGAAGAAAGGCAGAGAGAGAATTGAGCCTTAGCAAAATCCTGGGGACGGGAGGAGCCGTAAGATGACAGATTCAGAAGTTTGTTGTCAGCTTCAATAAAACTCTCAACGGCCACAGAACTTTTTTTTTTTTTTTTCTGTGTTAATTTAATCATACAAATATTCATTTATACATCAAGGAAAAAGCTTCCTCTTTATTTTTCATTTTTTTTACCCCCAATGTGCTGTCGCAGGACTTCTCCCAGACTCGATGAGGCAACACACCATCCTGTTCTACACATGCACTCCCCCCAGAGAGAACAGACAGGCTGCAGAACCACCACTCACTCACACAAGGAAAGAAATTAAACACACAACAGAAACCCAGACGTGGGACAGCGTGCATCCCCAGCCCTGCAGCTCCGGCTGCTCTCCAGCCCTGCAGCTGCAGCTCAGCGCAGCCCAACCCAGCGCAGCCTGAGCCCTGGGGCTGAACTCCGCTGTGCTCTGACTGCTGGGCTCTCGCAGGGCGCACGGCCCGCTGCTGGTGCCCAACGCAGGGATCTGACTTTAGAGAGCGGAGATGTATTGCAGCTTTTTTCCTTTTTGGAGGGGCGGAGGGCGCCAGCCCCACTGGGGCGATGCAGCCTCCCATCGGTTTCTTTTATTTCTCACCAGCCCAAGCTCTGTGTGCACAGCCCGCCTCGGCCGGCTCCTGTGAGCCGCAGCCCAGCAGTGGGGACAAACCACGCCGCTGGTTTCGCCTGCCTGGTGTTGGAGTTTGAACGCATCAGCCCGAGAGAAATCAACACGGATCCCCCCACAACACCTGAATATCTCAGACCTCTCTATTTAAGATCAGGAAAGCTGACAGCACGAGCAATGTGGGGGCTGGCTGTATCACTGCATTTCAAGGAACCAGAGGAGACAAAACCACCTTTGGCCTCAGAGAAACAGTTCTCACGAGAGGAAAATCCCAGAGGGTAGAGCAACCTCTAATTCCAATGTTCTCTTGCTGTCACAGCAGGGTTACAGCCCTGGCTCCCAAAGCACCTGCAGCTCTGCACCATCATTTGCAGAGGTCGTTCCCACAGACGAGGGCTGACGCTCAGCTCCCCAGGGCTCAGCTGCACGGCGAGCAGCACCAGGCTGCAGGTTTCAGCAGCACCTCAGCTCTGGCCCTGCCTTTCTGCACAGCCTGGAGCGAACGACTCTTGCCACAAGGACACCGTGGATTGAAAACGCTGAGGAGAGAATCCAGATCTGTGCCGAACAAGGATGCCTTCTGAGTGGGAAAGCACAGGGCTACGTGGGGTGCATCATGCAAGCTTTTCTCAAGAAAAGGAAGGTTCATTAGCAGGAGCAGCACAGGAACACAAGCTCGGCAGCCGTTCTCTACACGACGAGCAGACGTGCCTGGGAGCAGAAAGCTGAAGCAGGGGGATCTGAGGCTCGAGGGTCTCCCAGCTGACTCAAGGCAAAGGTTGCAGCACCAGCTGCTGTATGAGGTCTAATTTCCTTCCCCTGCCTCCTTCCATTACACAGCTGACAAAGGGAGCTATAAAGATAAGGAAACACCTCATCATCTGGACAAACAGCAGCCTGCAGTGTTTTAGATGCTTTCAGAAGGGCAGTGGCAGTACTGTAGATGTGATGGTCAAGTTCATGCCTTCAGAGCTTGGCACATTAACCACCTGCTCAGAAAGGAAGGAGCAGAGGCAGAATCCACTTGCCCAAGCTACAACGCAGCAAGGCAAACTACTCCCTAGACTGAATGCTAAGAGAATACAACTTCATCAGGGCAGAAGGATGGTACAGGACAAGAACAAAACACCGCAGTGGCACCAGGCAGTGCAGCACTACCTTCCACGGGCACATTCAGTCTGAATCTGTACCACTTACCAGCTCCAGCAAGCTGCTGACTGTCACGACACTGACACAGACCCAGGTCTGTTCACCAAACCACACGTGCTCTCAAAGGTCCAATTCTTCCTCTGCTGGATCCAGAGAAGACCCACCGTCCTCCACAAGAAGCACCTGCATGCTCTGGTTGGCAGCTGGAATGCAAACTGATCCCCCATCCACAACAAATCAAGAAAATGCCACGCACCAAGCAGCAGCAAGCCTGCGCTCTGCTCTGAAAGGAGTCTGCACCAGAAAGACTGGGAAGAAGCTTGTGGGGTATTTGCATATCGTTGTGTCTTTGGCAGTTGGCTCTTCTGGCCTGCAGGACTCCTGTCAGTCCGTGCCCTGCAGAAGGAGCTGGGGGCACACAGCCCTCAGGAACCCACGAGGCCCCTCTCCCCCCTTCACACTGGGCTTTCCAATCAATAACTGCATGAAGATACACTGCAGGAACAGCAAAGCAACCCGTATCTTTAGAGGAACGAGTCCTCCTCTGGCAACAAGCCCTGGAGCCCGTTGGAAGGGTGAGAGCCTCCAAGCTATACAAGGATGATAAAGGCGAATGAACACAAGGCGACAGAGTGGAATCCAGCTGCTGATTCTAACTCTTGCTCTACATTCAAAACTGCAAAGATTTAGCCTCTAAGTAACGCTTCCTAACAGGAGAAAGGAATTCAAACTTATACTGCATGAGAGAGATGGGAGACTCAAAACTAATAAGGAGGTGACTTGCAAAGCTTCGCGACTACCGCCGAGTGAATTACAGCTACAGAAAAGTAGTTTCCTCTTGGCACAGGACCAGTACACTCGCTTGGTGGCTCTAGGCACAGCTATTGTACATCAAGAGTTAAGAGAGAAAAAGTATCTTAAAATGCTAACCACATAGGACAGCTCTGGAACTTTAATAGGTCTGTTTCTTATTCATAGGGTTGTGTATACGAGCACTTCATGTGCAAGAGGAAGGGAAATGAGCCCTCCTTTATCCTACCCCAGTCCCACAGTCCCTCTCTTCAACTGTGATGCTGAGACCTGGTCCTCAGCAGGGCAACTGACAGCAACACTCGAACCAAAAGGAAACAAATGACGACACAAAAAGAATTAAGAAGTGGGTAAATAAAATCAGAAGTGAAATTAAAAACGCTGAGCTGGGTACAGACCCAACCCGCCATTCAAACGCATCCAACACAAAGAAGTCACTGCACAAACCCCCAGAAGATGCCAAGCAAACGTCCATCGGGTAACAAGCAAAACATGACAGTTCCACACAAATGCACGCTGTCCCTTATTTAAAAAACAGGAGAGAAACAAATTAAACATTTGCTCAAACTACAACCGCTCCGTAGGCAAAATTGCTTAAAAAGATGGCTTTTTCATTTCATTTTCTCTCTTAAACTTCTCAAGCTACCTAATTATCCTGTGTGAGAATGACTTCTAAAAAGAAAAATAAAAAAAAAATCACGGTGTTGGTATAGTTTCCTTCTCATAGCATTAAACAGCACTCCTGAAATTCAGCATTCACACATGCATACTGAGATCTTTCCTCCGGAAACAGTCTTAAGTTATTGGGCTTTTTTTTTTGTCTTCTTTATCCAGAACATGGAGGCAGAGAAGGGGGCTCCACGCCGCGTCTGTTTGCCACATGAATCCCCCTCTCCCTTCCCCCACAAGTCAGTTCTCTGTTAAATTCTCCTCTTGCCGATACCCGTTTTTGTGTGTGTGTGTTTTAAGACTGTCCGAAGGGATAAGGACCGTGGAAACCCTGAAAGAAAGTTGGAGACATGATCAATTTCAACAGGCAAGAAACAAAAGCGCTCAGCGCACGCCTACAAATAACGCCCATCCCATCCCAGTGCTGCTACGTCCGATCAACCCTTCACCCATCACAGCCCAGCTCTCCAGCCTCACCAAGGCTCACAAAGGAGCTGCTCTCCCCTCTCACACCAGCTGCCATCCACTTACCTCCTCCAGGCGTTACCTAGGCCAGCTAGCAGCCGGGCAAAACGCTTCTCAGGTGCTACAGGGCTAAATAAGTAACTGCTGGCAGCTCCTGCACCAGAGCAAAAGCCATTTGTGGATGCTGCTGTCCTTGCAAGGCCAACAGCTGCAGTCTCACAAGCCTATTCTAAAGGTTACAGCAAACAGGAAGGCCACAACTGATGGAAAAGCCCACTGAAGAAGCAGCAGCATTTTGAACTCCACATTCATCACAGGCACTTCTTAATGACAGGCTCTTTTTCAAGTGAAAGTCAGCCACAACACTTAAGCAAAAAATTAAAAGCTTACAACGGAAGCCACTGTCCCCTCATTGACATTCTGAAGTGAGCAGCCTGACAGACCTAGTGACAAGCCTCCAGTTAGCAGGAGCTCCTGTCTTAATTCCCATCGTTCCCGATGAGACACTGGATTGCTGAACAAAGCAGTGAGCAGGCAGGCAATGGATCACAGATAAAGTCTGTCACAGTGATGAAGGTCAGAGCCACGCCAAGCCCTCCCGTAAGATCCAGGTATACATTGAGGTCAGAAGCGAGAGGAGGGAGGAAAAGCTTCTGTTTCACTATCAGAGCTGGAAGCTTTGTTTCTTCAGGCCGTCCCCTGGCTGGCTTGCTGCTAAGACAGCTCAATGAGCACAGAGCCATCCTCTGTCTTTCAGGGAAGCTCTGACTTCAAGTTTTCACCATTTCACCTTTTAACAAGAAAGATCTCAAAGGAAACATTATTTCCTGCATGTTCTGCTGCAGCTCCCTAACAACCTGCTGCATGGGCCACGAAATGATGAGCCTTTAACATGGCTCACACACAGCAAGCACCAGCTGCACCACCTTGAGATCCATTGCAAAAGTTCCAGAGCCCCACTGGGTATCCGTTACAATGCAGGTGCTATCAGAAGCCAATTATTTTGATACAGCTAGTGAGAAAAAAGTTAAGTCCTTAGGATGTATCAGATGGCAAAATACAAGGCAGTGGTCAAATGAAGCATCTACCAGCAGCTCTCAAAATTCAGCCCAAAGAGGATTAGCAATTAAAGAGGACATCTTAAAAACTAACTGGGAAATAAGGGGAAAATAAAAGCAGAGAGCTGGAAATTGCTGTTTGCAGAGGGAAATGTGCACAAGTGATGGGAAACAAGCACACCTCAGCCCTAGGAATACACTGCATCCCCAGCCTGTGTTATCTCCAAGAGATAACACCCAGCAGACTGCACAACAGCTCGCCTCTGACAGCAGGAGCTCCCACTAGCAGCACAGAAATACCATGGCTGCTATCAACAGGAGGAAGAGCAGAAGGGAACCTGCATTAAAACCACGCGAGCAGGCACACAGACCTGCGCACAAATCGAAGGGCAGGGAACGAAAACAGCGTTAAAAACACCAATCATCAACAGCCCCATCTCGAAGGGATTCAGCTCTGTACCTGCAGACAGAAGGCAGGATTTGCTCATTACCTGTACAGACATTTGCCAGGATTTGCTTCACCTTGCAGCTGCCCGCACAGCGCTTCGATTGCAGGCAGTGACTGCAAGCTCCCCCAGCCCCACAGCGCTCAGCGCCGCCTGCTCCCTCTGCTGGGTGCTGCCCGCTGCACAGCACAGCCCATCACTGACATTCAGCACAGACAGAACCTTTTTTTTTGCTCATTTTCACTCCTCGCCTCACGGCACAGAAGAATTAACACAATTAACACAATTAATCAGCACACAGCACAGGCTGCTTTGCTTCAGTCAGACACGGGAAGAGTTCACCAGCCTTTCTGTGGGCAGAGGCAGCCCCAGCACAGCAGATATTAACCTTGTTTTCAGGGAAAGCCTCTGGAATTTCAAACACCAGATCACACAGCACGTACTTTAAAGCTAAACTATCACACCAACAGCATGTTAACTAAAAACAGGGGTTTGCTCATCTTTGTGGTTAGATTCCTGAGCACACAAGGTGCTGCCTGCTACCCTGCACTCCGCAGGCTGACATCCCCAGCTGAGCTCCTCTCCCTGTTGCAGCAGTGCTAAGGGCAGCCTCGGGACCCAACTTCTCTGCATGCAGTGAATTTCATCACAAAGAGCCCAAAGTCTTTGGTCAAGGGACCAGCACAACGCAACACTGCATGTGAGGAGCTCTTGGTGGAGCTTCACTTACCTATGAGATTTATTAGGACATATCAGAAGTTACAAAGAGTAAAAGACTTGTTTCTTAAAGGCAGTGTCGACTCGGTTTGGCATCAGACCTAACAGCCCTCCTGCATGGAAGGAAATAATCTGTTTTAACTTAGCACTGATGGCAGGAAGCATTCGTTCCAATTCTTCTGAATATTTCCAGTGGGGGAGAAAAAAAAAAGAAGAAACCCCAAATGATTCTAAAAGCACATTTCTGCATCCTAAAGCAGGTCGTTAAGCTCTGTGCTTTTCTGCTCTTGTTAAAGCCCGGGGACTTGGGTGGGAACAGACAGCAACCTGTCAGGAAAGGAGCAGCAATCTAATTGTATTCAGGTGGTTTTAGGAGCATATCCTGCCTGTGATTTCCTCCAGCAAGAAACCCTCACCCCCCCTTCTGCGCAGGAAGAACACTTTGCTCTTCCTCAGCAAGGTGCAAGCTCTTTGCAGACCTCTGTTCCTCTTACATTTATTCAATGAACAGTGATAACAGCATCCTCGTATGTAAAGCCTGCAGTTACTGCTGCAAAGCAAATACCAACCTCCACTACAGGATGGTTCCAAGAATAATTATCCCTTGTATGCAAGATTTCACACCATAAACATGCAAAAATAATTCTGCATGCCAACGCAGTTTTCCCAAGTTATTTTAGCTGAGTGTCTCACCCTATTTTTGGTGAACTCCCTTCTATTCTCACAATGAGATGGTTGTCTTTATGAACAGCTCAGCTGCAGCTTTGCAAATTTACTTTCAGTTCTTGCAGTGTCTTCCACAGAAGTAACTGCTAACTTGCTGGTGAAAGCATTCTGGCTATTAAGACAAACACGAGCACAGAGGACCCTGTTTTTTCAAGCAAACATTGCACATTAAAATTGTTTTAAGTAATCATTTGACTTTATTGTCTAAAAGGGAATTGAGATTGGGACAGTGAAATGCTATGCTCAGTAAATGCTATGGTCTCATGCTAGAAGGAAGGCCAGACAAGCACAGCAAAGCCTCCACATTCACACCCACAGCACCTGGATGTGAGGAAATAAGCAGGAGAATCATTCAACTCCCTTTTCAAACAGACTTGTGAAAAAGCAGAGCCTTTTTAGTTAGCACTGAAATGAAACCAAGATTAAGTTAATCTTTCATAAACCATCACAACACAGGCTTTCAAATAGCTATCTTTATTTCACCTTTGTAACTGAGGCAAGCTCAAGACGAGGTACACTGAAGAGAGACAGGAGTTTGATGCAAGCTGCCAAGCACTACAGGCCAGTGGAGATGTACAGAGCTGACGAAGGAACGAGGGCTCAGCTGCACGATTAAGTTACCATGCAACAACCTTGCTCCTGTAACTTAATCAACAGCGTGCTTTCAGTCCGCAGAGATAAAAAGCAGGGAACTGGTGGCCTGCAATGGAGCACAGTGAAGCTAAAACTGCACTGAACCACATTTCCCACAGGCCAAAAGCACACGGGCTGTTTGTTTTCATGGATGAGCTAACATGCAGCACCCAAACATGTTAGTCTTTCACCAGATAAACAAACCAGCTCATGCAACCCCAATTTAACCTGCATGTGCTGTGCAGCAGTGTGGCTGTCAAGGATTAGCTCCAGTAGTTCCAAGTCCAATATTCTCCCCTCTTTGCTCTGAATCAATTTAGCCATGTGTTAACCAGTCCAATTTAAAGCCCAGACACCAGAACAGAAGGAGCTTCTTGTCTACACGGAAGTAAGCACATTTCTGAGGCATCTTCCTTACCTACAAATATAGTTTAATACCCAAACAGGATTTTTCTTTCCACTGGAAACTATCTGAAGGTGACAGAGGTACTCCAGAAACATGCCCATTAGTGCCCTGGTTTGACAGAAGATAATTCCAGGAGCAGCAGCAGCTTTTAGACTTGGAGAGGGGAAGTCAGTGAGAAGGCTGTCAGGATAGAGGGAGGTTTGGTTTCCCCTACGTATATAAAACTGCAATTTAGCACAGATCAGAGTTCAGCTGCACACAGAATGATGACAGGGAGCATAAATACAGCAAGGGAAATAAGGTGGCACTCTGAACTCCACATATGCTTGTATTACATCACCTTTTAAGAACAGCATGAGCAATGAACAGCACAGATTAGCATCACACAACTGGTAGAATGCCTTTTGCAACGGCAGTGACAATGCAACTTGTTTTGTGTGGGCGAATCTTTGCAGCTCTGAACTTCCACATGCAGTTTTCTGCACTACAAGGAAAGCAGCAATACCTCAATTCACACGGGCAGGCAACTAAACTCAGCAACAGATTTATAGACTTCTATCATATAAGTGACAAATACAATATGAGTGTCAGTATATGGCTATCCACTTCAAATCTCCATTTAGACATTTAATCTGTACATTTCTTTTCTTCGTTAAGGAATTTAACTCCCAGGCTCTAGAAGACTGCATCTTGTGCTTTTAATGTAAAAGACTGTCACAAGAGAGCAGCAGTGACCTCCACAGTGTTGCTATGAGACAGGAGTAAGTAAATAGAAGGAAACTATATTAGCCTCATCTCTCTTGAGAATACAGAGAGAAAGCGATGCCAAAGAGGAGAATAAAATACCCATGCATGGGTATATCTGGATTCCAATACAGCTCATCCCTGCCCTGAGATAAGCATCCTATCCTGCACTTAAAGCACGTTTGATTCTCAGAACATGCAAAAAAACTCCACTGGGAATAGATATAACAACATGCTCCAAGCAATGCCCTGAACGCAGACCCTGATCTACCTTCCAGCAGTTTATTTCAGAAGGTGAGCAAGATGGACCCAGGGAAGGCATACAGTACAGCAGGAATAAAGACCACACTCAGTTTCTTTCAATTGTGTCACAGGTTTCATCTTATCTGCCTACAGAACAGTCTTTTATCTCCCTAGGAAGGTTTGTTTCACTGAGCACAGCATCCACGCCATGTGCTTTGTGCTGCTGGAGAGAAGCTCTCTGACTGTTTCCACGTGTGGAACGTTCAAACACCAGCCTCATTCAGCAGCAGATGGCACATCAGCATCGCAGAGATCCTGGCTCCACTGGGGAATTTTGGAGGACAAGTCACACCTGCTCAGCTGCACCAGAGCGAGAAGCAATGCAGACAAGGTCTGGCAACTTGCAGCATGTTTTACAACTGCAGCCACCAGGAACAGCTCGTCTCATCTCCAGGATTTCATGGTCTCATGCAGCTGCGTGGCTGGGATCCTTCACAATCCCTCTGCAGAGGGGAAGCCTTCACACCAATCTGAGAAATATGGAGGGCTTATAACCCTTGTAAATACAAGATACAGGCCTAAACTGAACCTTAACCTCCTCCTTTACTGTATCTCACCAGATGCTGTGCTAAACGTGACCAGGGATTCAATCCACTATCTGGGGACGTGAAAGGAAATGAAGATATTAGAGGTTCTGCCCAGGTTAAATAAGATTCAGGTATTCTACATCCAAGTATCTAGACAGCCAACCCACAGCAATCTTTGCTTCCAGATCTTGAAATCAAGCCTCTCACATCATTATTCTGTCACAGGACAGCGGCTCCAAATGCCACAGTTCTCCTTCTCCCATTCAATCAGCAGTCCAGGTCCAGGCTCCAGGGAGGAGGGGGAAGTGGACCAGCTGAAGCAGGCCATGAGACAGAGCTTCTACCCAGAGACAGCTGCACACCACCAGGTGTGCATCAGGTGGTTTAACACTTCTAACATCACCTCACCAAGCCCTTATCCACTTCAGGTGAGCCTCAGCTGCTCACACATTACTCCTTTTTAGGAAAAAAAAAATCTTCCCAAAAGCTTCAAATCTTTCTGGGAGAAAAGGAGGCACACAACAGTGCAAGACCTAAACCAGGAAGGCAAACGTGTTCACCAGACAGCCTAAGATGAGACCAAATATCTAGGATGTCAAAGCTACTGAGATCTGTTCAGTGCAGAGTTGTGCTGTACCACAGGCACTGCACCAAGGTGGGTATGAAATCTGGGGCATAATGCTTCTTGCCTGGACAGAAAGGGCAGGGCTGGAACAAAACTCATCTTCACACCTACCTTCAATAATTGCTTCCAAAACAAAAGCTAACTTGTTGTAGGTCACAAACAGAAAACACTGAGAGACAAAATACCTCATTAAAATAAAAACAACAGATCAATGAACCTCTTGCACAGCCCATCCTCTTTCCAGAAGTCATCCCTTCTAAAAGTAAACAAGAAACAAGACTTACCTCACATCTACCCCAAAACCACCCACATGCTGTGAGGATAAGGAGGAACAAGAAGAGAAGGAAGGCCGCCTAGCCTACGTCTGGGGTTAGGTTATAAGGACTCATCCCATCAGAGCAGTGCTCATGAACTTTGGGTTACTAGCTAGACCAGTTCTCTTAAACTTAGCGAGAGCATCTTTGTAGTGCCTCAGTCTCTTCCCTGGCTTCCCTTCTCTGCAGGTAACTGGCACACGCTACGTCCTCTGCATCTCCAATAGGCACGTTCCTTACTGTTAGAAAAGTCAAAATATTCTACTATTCCTCAGCCACGAGAGCCTGTTGATACACCCAACCTGCTGGCACTCACATCACCTTAATTTCAGTAGGAAGGGCAAGGAGTTTTCCATAGGGAGAGACCTAGTGAAAAAAAATATATCAAAGGCCACATTACTGCCAAAACCCCATTTCCAGGATTTCTGTGCAGGACCTTTCTCTGAAGTGCATCTCTTAGCAGTTCCAAATCTATCCACCTGCAAGTGCAAATCAACTACAAAGCAATTGCCAAGTCCTGCACTGAGAGTACAGGCAAGGGAGGGAAAGGATTAAAAAAGAAAAGTTACCTCCGGTCTAAAGCTGACACCAAAACAGAAGGGAGCTCACCCACCTAAATCGAACCTCGTATTTAAGTTGTGAAAGGTTGAGGCAATTCCAGCATTTCAAAGCTGGAACTCAGAACTCTCATCTCCATCCCCTCCCCACCAAACTTTGCTGGGATGTGTACAACCAGCAACAGCAGGGCAGCACCCTCCACCCAAAGCTCCGGAGGTGAAGTTCATGCAAAGAAACTTATGGATGCCTCTGCTAAGGCAGACAACAGCCCATCCATCCAGCAAACCCTGCTAGGAAAGTTTTCAGTGCCATCCAGCAGCTCTTCAACAGCAGTGACCTCCAGTCACTGTTAACCCAGGTTCTATTTGAGCTGATAGGTGAAAGACTTTATTTGCACTTATTTTCAAAGCCATCCATTTCAGCTCTAGTGAGTGAAAATCCTGAAGCAGAAGCCAACAGAGCTCATTAAAAATTGATCTTCGGGGTGCAAAACACAAGGAGGAGGATTTGTAGCCTGACAAATAGTCCTCATGCATGCCACCAGTTAAAAAAATGCACAGCCCTGGTGCAAAGTAGGACACTAAAATATGATCCACTGGTAGAGGACAGGGAGTTCATCCAGTTAGGAACTAAAGTGCTGTAGGTGAACTAACATTAGGGCTTTATTAAGTCATTCAGCAACCAAGTGTTATTGTCCTACACAGCCTGCTTAAAGTACAGTAAAGCATTTTTGAAGGATTTTAAAATCAAACTAGTTTGACATAAGACAGTACACACCTACACATACTGGCTGCATTAACAGGTGGATTCTGAATTGTAAATAATCCTGCAATTCATTTTTCACACACAAGCAAATAAAAAGTCAAAATATCACTCAGACTCTTATAGCATCCACCAAGCAAGCTTTTGAGAGAGGTTTAAAGTAAAGATAATTTAAAAGTCACCTACAATTATAAACAAGACAAGGACGCAGCAATAGTCCTCTGACTGCTCCTGACCAACAGCTTCTGGGACCAAAGCACTGAGCTCTGCAGTCTCTCCACACCAGTTTTAAAAAAACAAAACAAACAACAGAAGTCATCTGGTTAATCTCAAGTTTTGGAGGTGTGGTTATTTTTTCTCTTTTTAATTATGAAAAACTCAGGAACACATCTTGAGAGATATTTTGACTTATTTGCACAAGCAGCTGGAATAGGCTCCAGCCACTGATAGTTACAGCACCCAGACAAGATTATATAAACTTTAAGAAGGACTCGAAGCAAAAACAAAAAGAAAAGGTGGATCTGGTAGAGTCTATTAGAGGCAAAAGTATTTTAATATAACATGAGGAGTCGGCAGAGTCGGACAGTCAAATTCAAAACCTTCCTTAGCAGGTCTGGCAGAAGCAGAAGGGAAGGGCTTTGCAGTTTGTAATGAAGAACTATTACACACAGCACAGTCTCATCACCTACCCATTCTCCTGTTCTCCCAGGGCACCTACCTTACTGTATGTCACTACCGACAAGTTGTTCGAGTGACTGCTGGGGGAGAGATTTACAGAGTTTTGTGACAGTCCATTCTGATCTTGTTCAATTTGGTCAGGAGCAGGCCCCCACGTGTTTTTGCTGATTGTGCCTAGCTCAGAACCCCCAGGGTCTTTTAGGTTGTTTTCATCTGGTTGCCTGTTCTTCTGTGGAGAGGCGAACGGGTTAAAGTTTCCTTCTACCTTGCGGTGCGGTTGCGTGTTGAACTCCGTTTCAAAGGATGACAGCTGCTGTGTTACTCCTAGAAGTCCTCCCACTTCCACACTGAGGATCACCCAGATGACATCTGAGGAAAAGGAAAGACACCTGGGTCATAACTGGGTGGAGATTATGGAGATGGGGAGAGAAGGAGAAGAAAAACAGGATACCAATTCACTCCTTATAATAGGAGAAAAGATGGATTGCTTTGAACACAGAGCATCAGAAGCAGTGGCTAGGCACTAAGGGAGTGTAAACTTTCAAGAAACCCAAGGCAGTTTTACTGAACCTAAAGAACCAGGTTGGAACATAGAAAAAAAACAAGCTGACATGACAGCCTGAAACTCCATACTTCATTCCACCAACTGGATGCACTGAAAGAAGAAAACTGTAAGTGACTTTAACCAAGATTACACAGCAGGACTGAAACAAGAACCAGACAGAACCACCGCCAATCTGCTCTGATGGTAAAGAAAAGGTAATTTTTTTGTTTAGCATTAAAAGGTTTGGCTCTTAAAAGCCATACACACCAAGAAGGGTTGTTTGGAAAATAAATAGATTTACTGCAGTTCACATTAATTTATCTCTATTCTAGTTCCAACATGTCTCCAGCAGGTGGACACCTATCTAGGCTGGTAAACTATTACACAAGTTTGCAAACTACTGGTTAGAATAAGAATGCCCATCAGTTCTTACATAACGTGTGTCTTTCGTACACAGATAAGATTGTTTTTCTTCTTACTAATTCACCTTGTACTCCATGCAAACACTAGGGCATATTCACATAAACCCATTTCTTGGTACATATCCAAATTCAATTCTACTGCTTTTTCCCCCCCCCCCACCTCTCCATTAAACGTGCTCCAGTTCTGCTTTGCTGCACGGAGCTAGAAAATTAACAACAACAGCAATACCTAATCTCAGCTGATCTAATTACAGGACCTCAAGTGACATCACTCCAGTTCCAGCTTTCCCACAGTGCCAGCCTGCAAGGGGCTCTTCTGTGCTGCGACCAATGGTGCGGGGAAGGGAGGGAGGCAGCAGCTATTGCTGTGCAGTTTTACCACCACCACCTCCACAGACAGCTCTGATGCACTGAAACTCTCCTTGCAGTCACTCACCACGTGCAAGGCGGCTCGTTAGCCCGCAGTTTGTAACCCAATTAACGATGGTGAGATCCCGCCCTACACAAGCTGCTCAAGGAGCACAGCACGCTGCCGGCACCCAAACCCCACACAGCACTTCTGGCTCTCCCTGCTGCAGGCCTGACCAACACCCAGGCAGCAGGCACAGCAGGCACAGCAGCCCTGGGTCTCCCCTTCCTGCTGGATCTGAGCTCAGGAAATAAGCATCAAGCAAAGGCAGCCCTGATTCTAAGCTTACTTGCCAACAAGGTTTTAATTAGCAGGCGGTTTTCTTTCAAAGTGTGGAGTTTGAGGAAATTTAGTGAGATCTTAAGCTGTTTGTTTGTTGGCATGTAGGAAAGCCTTGGATTAATAAACACACAGGCTGGTGGCGGGCAATGCAAGTTGAACAGGCCTTTCTACCTTCCACCCTAATTTATGCACACCTTTCAAGGACAAGTTACATCCACTCACTACGCAGCAGAGCCTTACTCCTGCTGACAATTCTGCCAAAGAAATGGAGCAAGGAGTTATTTTTGACTCCCAGCACTAACATCTCTCACTCAGAAGCCATGTACTTGGGACACTCCCAACTGCCAAAACAGACACAAAGCTGTTCTCAGTATAAACTACAGCTGGCTAAAAATGACTGCAAGACTCCAAATGAATGAAGATGCTAGAGTGGCTCAGCCCAAGGCATAGCACAGAATTATCAAGGAGTGATTTTTAAACACAGAAAACCAGTTCACAGTAGATGTTTACCAAGTTTATCTATTAAAACTTCTCCTAAACTTGTCCGATTGGGTTTATACCATTTAGATGTTATGTTTGTATGTAGTTTGTGATGATCAGCACTGAAAAACTTGAAAGAATTCTGACAGGATAAGAGACTCCAGGAGAACTGTACCAGTTCCTTTGTTTTTAAGAGCTTTGTGTCATCTGCAATTTGTGCCAGTGTTTAGAAAACAGCTCTGTGCTGACCAAGACAACAAGGCAGCTCACTTGATGCTTTCTCTGCTTTCTATTTTAGTCTCAGAGCTGGCAGACCTCCCTACCTTTCTGCTTTTAGTCAAAGCTCACCGAAGGCAAGCTTTCTGTCTTTCAGACCTGACTGCAGCACTGCCCACCAGACCAGCAGAGCACAACATTTTCAATATGGAAACCAAGGTCAGAACACAGCTGTACTTTTCGTATCTTTGCACAGCACAGTGTCACATCAACAGCAATTACAATCAATCACACAAAGATTATGGGTAGATTATCACTTTGTTATCAGGGGAGCGTCTGCAGGGGAACAGGAGCACCTTTTATGATGGGAATATCACAAAGAAGTGCCAGGAAAGGCAGCACTCACCTCCATAATACAGTCCTGTGGCAGTGCACATTCGCCACTGTCCCTGATACATTCCTGCTGTGCTGGGGCTGCACATCTGAACGCTGACATCTGCAATCTCCTGGGGCTCCAGGGACCTGACCATGACCATGTTTACGTGGCCAAACTGGTCCCCCCCAACGTACTTCAGACAAACTCCTGGAGGCCAGACCTCTGTCCCTGGGATTAAGCAGAGCAAAAAAATGAAAATAAATTAGCAACAGTGCACCAGGAAAAGGCGTTGTGTGCGTTTTTATGAGACTGGGTGAAACACTTCTTAAAACAGCTGTGCAATTGTTGAACAGTTAAAGGAATACCGAGATTTATGTATCACAGCCAGCAGTGGATACAGAAGAAAACAGTTTTCAGATAAGGTTTAACTGGTCTGCTTTGCGACCAGCAGGCAAAATCACATTCCTATAGAAATAATCTCTAGCTCTTCATTATTCAGGAAAATCCTCAAAGTCACAGTGCAACAGCTGCAAAAGAAAGAAAGAAAATCAACACAGCTGACATTCACTTCATACTACAGACAAAGAGGTGAGACATTTTTCTTTTCCTCATTTCTGCCTCCCTACATGTAGCTCCTGAGGTTTCCAACATCAAAACGTATGCTATTATCTCAAAGTGCTGGAAGCATTTTCTTTCAGGCATTCACTCCTTTTTCAGCCTGTTAGTCTCCAGAGAAACTCCCGCTCTGAATTACAATTGAAGAGCTAGCACTGTTTTTTAAAAGGATTTGCACCCCTTCCTGCACCAACTCTTCTCTCAGCCTTGCAAAATGGTGGAAATGATTGCGAGCATATGATTTACTTGTGGAGAACAGTGCTTAGACTGGAGATACTGGGAGTGACAGTGTGAGCTGGCAATCTGGAGAGATTCAGAAAGCAGTTACTGCATGCAAACACAGCAATTTCCTCCAAAGATAACAAGAACTGAAGCAAACAAACAAACAAACAAAGCTTAGCAGAATTTTCTTTTGCTTCTTCTCCGATTTGTGGCAGGCCAAAGACTTTGAGAACACCTTCTGCTTGGCTAAGGCTGTAGGAAGCAGTTAATTGGAGGAACCACCAAGATGCTTGGAACCACTCAAAGTCTATTCTGAGGCCAGAATGGTGGATGCTGATCTGACCTCAGGTTACCTCCAAGAGCATCCTGCAAAGGATGCAAAACAGCTTGTCTGCTAATTTAATCCCTGTGGATGCTCCAGTGAAAACATGGCAAGGAATAGCTTCTTAGCAGAATCCTTATTTATGGGACTCTCCATCTAGCAGGGAAAGAAAGATGTGAGCTAATAACACTGGATGTTCAGAGTGGAGAACACACTGCTACAATAGGAAACACTGCAGAGACAGGGAGGTAACTGGAAGCGAAAAGCTGAGTGATTAGCTGATTAGCTTGACTCAGACTAAGGCATGGGGAGTCAAGTATGAAGTCTCCTCTCACAAGGTTAGCAGCCCAGCAATAAGTTTTAAACGGTGCGACTTTTATCAGTTCAAAGATTGAAGATGCCTAGAATGCTGCAATTAATAAGCCCCATAAAAGGAATCAAAAGGAATCAATCATAGAATTGTAAGAGGCTGGGAAGGGCCTCCAGAGATCAAGGCCAAGCTCCCTGCTAAAGCAGGTTCTCTACAGCAGACTCCACAAGCACTCTGTCCCTCTGACAGCACAGAAGTTCTTCCTTGTATCGTTTAGAACAAGGGGCATTGAGCTGAAGTTCCACTGCTGCTCACCACTCAGAGCCCACATCCACCAACCTGACTCCTGCACTTTAGGTGTTTAGAAATAGTGATCAGATCCCCCCTCAGCCTTCTCTCCTCTAGAAGGAACAGTCCCCGGGATCACAGCCCTTCCTCATACAGGACACAGTCCACACCCTTTGAACATCTTTGTCCCCTCCACTGGGCTCTTTCTAGATCTCTATCTTTTCTAGAACTGGGGAGCCCAGAACTAGACACAGCGCTCCATACATGACCCCAGCAGGGCACAGCAGAGGGGAGGATCACCTCCTTTGACCTGCGGGCCACGCTCTGTACAGTGCAGCCCAGGACATCGTTGGCCTTCTTGGCCACAAGAGCACACTGTGGGCTCACTGCTCCTCCCCAGCAGGGCAGTCCCTGCCCTGTATGATGCATGCAGTTACTCCTCCCCAGGTGCAAGACTCTACACTTGTTCTTGTGGAACCTCATCAGGTTCCTCCCTGCCCCGCTCTCCAGTCCATCCAGGTCTCACTGAATGGCAGCACAGCCTTCCCGTGTGCCAGCCACTCCTCCCAGCTCTGGATCATCAGCAAACTTGCTGAGGGTGGACTCTAACCCCCCCATCCAGGTCACTGATGAAGATGATTATGCCATTCTATTTCAGTACACTCATCTGTCAGGAGATGATGAATCGCAGTAACTGTCCTGCATGCAGAGCCAGCAGCAGCTGGGGGCAGAGAGGGAAGAAGAAATACAACTTAAATTCTGCTTGTCTTTTAGCACTGCTTCTATTATACGGCTTGGTCTTTGAGCAGACATGCCAAGCACCATCCTGGAAGATATCAGAGCAGGGTATTAGATTTTAGTAACATAAAAACCTGACTGAACCTGGCTTACTGCTTGCGTGCCTAAAACTGACAGCCTCCCAGAGCTGTGCTTGTCATACTCGTCAGACACCGAGTGCTTGGGTGACACATGCCTCAGGTATTTCTTGTTCTAGGACTGAAATCATTTAATCAAGGGCTCCTGTAGAGCTGTTAAAAACCTTGGCTTTACTTCAGTTATCTGCCTAACAAGCAGATATTATCTAGAAACACCATAGTCTTTTGATATTATATCTTAATTAAACCTCAAAATGGTTTTAATATGCCCTGGTTCTGCTTAAACTGTAGTCACAACACAGTATGTGGAGGTGCATTTAGCTAAAACATGCCTCAACAGCGTGGTTTTAACAAGATTTGGCCTCCAGCACCAGTATTCAAGCACAGATGTACTTTTAACAAGTTGGGCTTTAACCCACACAGAAGCCAAAACAAATTTTGGCCTCGCCAGGAGCTCGTGAGTCCAGATGAACTTCTTTTCCTCATTTCAGCAGGCCCATGGATTTCAGAAGGTCAAACACAGCAAACAGTGAAAAACAGCTTGAACAAGGATGTTAAATTAAGGCTGAATTTGCATTCAGGAAAGAATACATCAGAAGAACAAGAGGAGGAGGAGTCTGAAAGGAGCTATGTAGGGGGTGCAGTCATAACCCATACAGTTTAAGATACTAATAGTGGAGAAACAAGATCTGTCAAGCTTACTGCATTTTAAGACTTGTTTGAGACAGTTATAAAAGTTTTCCAGTCAATTTTGTACATTACAGGAATTCAAGTAAGTTCTGTTACCTTTCTATTTTACTAGGTCAAAAAAGGCAGAAAAAAATTGAAATAATTAAATCCTTTTTCTAGAATATGATGCTTATAAATCAGTGTTCTTACATGCACACTTCTCACCTCCAATATCCTGATTAAATACTTAGATTTTTAATGGGGTTTTAGTCTTTGTTGCACTTTGGTATTTAGCACAAATCCATACAGCATGAGTACTGCAGCCATTTTCAAGTCAAGACACTTGCACAGCTGCGTGTTACTCATGATGATTCATGGTATCACACCTTGTCATGCTAGCATTCTTCTTCACAGAAGTGCAAGCAGGTCAATTAAATTCAGACACACAGGTTAAACATTCATGCAACATCCTGTCATTGCAGCAGTCAAAGATGAGGTGTTCCCCTCTGCATCCTCAGATCTCTGACTACATCCCTAAAGATTAAGCAGTTTTGCCAAGTCTCACTTCCAGCCACTGCTTTTATTTCATTCTGGAACGTGCTCTCTCCATCTCTGCATTCTCCTAAAGCATGAAAAAGCCATTCTGCCAAAGGTGTATTAAAAAGTCAAGGGTGCCTGCCACACAGCTGCCTCTTCTCAGATTGTGGCATCTCTGCATCCACAGACAAGGTTAATACTGAGAGCCCAACCACCAAATGGCAGGCAATCAGAAAACAGAGTAATGAAACGTAGTGGTAACGTACACAGGCCAGAGCTGGAAGGCTTCAAGGTTTACAGGGATCTCTCTCTTCACCGACTGGAAGGTGTCAAGTGAATTTGTCAAGTGGACATAAGGCTACTTAAGGATTCTCAACCTATTTTCAGATTTAATTTCCATTACAAAAAGCAAAACAAGAGAAGTACTTCATTTTCTATTTATATGCCTCTTCCTCCAAAAGTTTCCTAGAGCTTTTGTTTCTGTGACGACAGGAGGAAGAAGAGCTCCACATCCAGCCACAAAACTTGAACTGCTGACGTAGGAAGGGGAATGCAGGCAGGCCAGCAGGCGACCTCCTTCAGCAGCAGCCTGGCTTCATTCCAAGGTAGGTGCACGTGGACGTTCTGCCTTAAGCAACACCTCCTCCATCTGCCATCCTATCACATAATACACTTTACATGGGCTTTGCTTGAGTCACATAGACTTACCTGTGTTTTGTATCCTCCATGTTTTTGTAAACTGGGTGTCAGGAGGGATGGACTCTCCTTCACCTATGGTGACATCTTCAACAAAGGACATGGAGGGTACGTTGATGTTTGGACTCTCAAAATCATAATAGGCTCCAATGGCTGCTTGTAGATTCCTGGAAAGCAAAAAGCAGCTTAGAATCTTAAGCACAGGAGGGTCGGGGTCTGACAATTAAGTATAGATATTATCCAGATTATGTCAGCTCTGCTGCTTGCACTTTCCTAAAGCTTCCATCACTATCACACATGGATTTTCCAAGCCATCCAAATCCAACACACAGCATTTTACTTCCCATGGACGCTCCTACAGAGCAACATTTCTAGCCTGATTCTCATTTTCTCTGTAAAACCTGGAACTTCAGAGTCTGTAAGGCCTTTGAGCCATTAGCTCTCTCTTGAGACCTGACAATCAGCTGAAAGGACAGTGAGGTTAAGTGTTGTGCACCACATGTAAGCAGAGCCGCTCCCTTACTGGCCTTGTTTCCTGGGCTAATTTCAAGACAACTCAAATTCTGTTTTATTTTGGTGTGAAAGGTCCAAAAGACCACGGAATGAACACACTGATAATTCTGAAGGCTAAAGAGAATCAGCAGCTATGGAAAATAACCGAAGCTTTGCTGCTTTTGAAACATACGGTCATAAGAGCTATTTATTAATCATTAGGTGTCTCTGGACAGTCATGGCTCAAAGGAACTTACAAACCATTGACACCAGCATTCTTCCTGAATAAAAACAAACGACAGCGGAAGTCTGTGATGCATTACAGACATTCAGAAAGCCACAGATACTATTGATTCATGGTCACGGTGTAGCAGAAACTCAAACGGTAATTAATCTGAAAAGAGGAACAGTCAAACAGGAAGAGGATCCATGAGTCTCAGCTGCCATTCCACGATATACTACTGTGCCATTATGTAAGTGTCTTGGCAAGGCATGTAATTCCTCTGTTTACGCATGTCTGGGAGGTTGTGGCCCTACTTTACATGTTGTGAGTAAGTGCTGGGAGAATGGAGATGAGTGAAATCTCTCCAGAAGCGATGGCAAAGCAATTGCTTTTTTATTCGTAATTACAGAGCTACTCTGTTGTGTTTGCTTCTTTTTTTTTAAAGCGAGACAAGAAAACCTTCCAGAACCAGGAATCACCATCTAAAACAAAAGACACATTGGAGAAGCTGCAGTAGATGGGAATGGTGATTTATTGTGGGTTAGTATTGTTTGGTGGAGTGTCATGTGTCCAAACCAAAGCCAGAAAGCCAAGGCGAAAACAAGAAAAACATTTGCAGCATGACCCTGAGAAAAAGCAAACACAGGGCTTTTTGGACTGCCTGCCAGCTGGAAAGAGCCTTGAAACGGTGAGCAAAGGAACTCCTGTTCAATTCCTACAGTGTTCAAGGCAAAAAAAAGTCATAGGGAGACATGGAGTAAAATCAGAAGCACATGGGAGAGAAGCGTGGCTGATTGCTGCTCACACGGGAACCCAGAGGCACCCTGTTGTAAGACTTCCACATTTACAACTCCGCATTTCAGACCAGCAGTCATTATTCAGCCTGAGGCATTTTCTACTTAGGAGTGTCAGGGCTATATTTAAACAGACAGCTCAGCCCAATGCTGCAGGAAGGCTGCGTGCCACATTAGCCAATAAATAGAGACAAATGCTCTGTTTTACATCACTGACCGCCTGTTGCTGATACACCACACCAGATTTACATAACTTGCAGAAGGGCTGTGCCAGGAGACTCCTGTTCACTCAACCAGCTAACACTACAGCCTAGAGTTCAGTTTTCACTTTGATTTCTTCCTGCATTACAGCAATCCAATGCATAAGGTATTGCAAGAAGGATAACAGCCAGCAATACAGCTCTTTCTCTTCCTAATCCACCCAGACATACCACACTGCACGCTACAGTGCTGGAATCAGTAGAAATGACATTTTCTTGACATTAAGAAAGAGAAAAATAAAAGTTCCAAGGGGAAGGTTGCTGCTGTAATCCGTTGTAAGGCAGCCTGCACCACGTTTTGTTTGCTTGGCTGTAAATACGCTTCAAAGGTAGTGGGCTATTTGTGCACATAGGCTCTCTGCCAACTTTCTTCCCCTCCCTGTGTCATATTTCACTGCTTGCTTTGCCATTGGGAAACAACTCCAGTCCTCCGCAGCATATAGCTAGCTGTTAACTCAAGAAGAGTACATGCTAAAAAACAGATTTGCCACCCTTCTGTGATCACATATCACAAAGCCACCTCCCCGCTCCCACTGTTTTGATCAGCGTGCAGCGGGTTTGGGTTGGGGGTGAACACTTGGGTGCGTTCCAATGCACAATGGCCTTTTTGCTGGAGAACTAAGAGGAAGCTTCCAGAAACCAAAGAGAAATCGAAAGTAACAAGAGCCAAAGTCAGGATGACAAAGCAAATCTGACTGAAGTTCAAGTTCTTCAGCACAGGCAGCCCAGAGAGATGCCACCGAGCGGCCGTCCGGCACCGCGCCGCCGCGGCAGACACAGCGCTCACATTTTAGTCATGCTCTCTGCTTACACAACCAGCAAAGAAAGCAACCTATCACTGCTGGCTTTGTTTCTGCTCTTTCTGAGCAAGAAAATTCAGGTATCAGTGTGAATGCAGCCCTTTGCTCGAGGGCCACGTCCAGAGGTCAGAGCTGCAAAACCCTCAGCCTGATGACTCACCCGTTCCCCAGGCTGCGTATCATTTGTAGGACTGAATGCTGCTGCCTTTCTACTGTAAGCACAGTGTTTGTGGGCTTTACAAAGAAATGCTGCTAAGGAGACTTTGAGGTCACAGACGAGTCCCTGAAGTTCGCCTATATATATTTGCTGTTATTATTAGGTCTTTACCCTCGTGCCCCAGATACAACTGCAGAACAGCAACTGCAGATCCTCCCGGGAGGGGAACGAGGAGTTAAAACTAAAGAGGAAGGAGAGATCATTTGAAAGCTGCTGCTTACACGTTAATGCCAGCCTGCTTTCACTCCCAGGTGTGACTTGCACCACGCTTACCCCCTTTACTCCCTGCCATGTGATATCAATTACTATTATAAACCAAACTACTTTGGAGCTGTAAGATGAGCATGCCCAACCCAGCCCGTGCAATTTACACGACTGATCTATCCTAATTACAGGGATGGCCATATTTCTGTCTCTTTCTCAGCACAGCCCTCCAGGTGTCATGCTCTCCCAAATGAAGCAATCGGGCTCTTCCAGGAGGGCAGCAGGGCTCTGCCATGCTCACACAGCAGGTCTGGCAGGGTTTTACCTCGGCCTCCCGCAATCAGAAATCACACACAACAACGCGAGCCTTCTTACCACCAAAGCAGAGCTCTGTTTCAGTACTGAGAGGGGGGGAAGAAGGCAGCAAATTGTAGCTTCATATCATCAACCAAACCCACTCCAGCTCCGGTACCCTGCTCCTTCCTCCCTAAAGGCATCACAAGTCCCAGGTAGCGCGTTGTTCCCAGCGAAGAGCTACCCACACAGCGGGAGAAAGTGTTCCTTTGCAAGTCCGTTTTCTGCTCCGCCGTTTGGTTTCAGGCCTCAGGAGCTAACTTACAATAGAAGTTAAAACCTTCGCTGCTAATAGCGCTGGAGATGTCCCTTAACAACTCTTAAGTGTTTGCGAAGAGGCGCTTTATCTCGAGCCATTCTCTCCCTTCCCATGTTTCTTCCAGACAGCCTTTTGTTATGTTAAACCAATATATTTAGACAGTAATTACTCCCAATTAACTAGGTCACCGCGCAGAATTCAAAAATAAAAGGAACTCTTCCAAATCAATTCAAAAACCAGAGCACTCTTCATACAACCATACGGTGGTGCAAGGGAAGAGCAATATACGGGTAATTGGAAATGATTTTTTTTGCTTTTAATTGAATCCGATTCCTCATTACGACAAGGAAGAAACCGTGGCACTGAGACTCGCTCACATCGGCCTCGAGCAAAGCAGAGCAGACGCAGGGAATCGTATTTGGGTTTGATTTCCAACCCAGCAGCTTAGGGATCCGAGCTATGGGAAAACGGCCCCGGCTGATGCTCTGAAGCACTTGTTGACACAGGAATTACACTCCAAAGTAACTGTTACAATAGAAAGCAAAGACTTGATAGTTCAAGTTTCAACTGTAAGTCTTACAGGAATCTAGAAGTTTGATTTTAAAGCCTTTGATGAACCCAAGTCAGATGAAGACAGCCCCGAGTCCTCAAAAAGGCACGCAGATTTTGCTCCTATGGCTCCTGGCGCCCTTTGCCAGCCATAGAAGCGGACGTTCTTCCAGCACTGATTCTCCTGAGCCGTCAGGAAAAATACAAAGGTCACCCTTCCAGTGCAATACCAATTTAGCCTTCAACTTCAGATCTCACACCGCACGCAGCACTTATATCACAGACAGCAACTTGAGGACATTTATTAAGTTGAGCAGAAAGAACTTTGACAAATGGATTCGGCTGCAGATGGCTGCAGTGAAGTGAACGCCAGGTTCCACTTCTCTCCCTCCGAGCAGCTCCCCATTGAAAGCCAGGCAGCTGCATGGCCTCAGCACTCACATGTGGCAGAATGCCTGCTGTGCCCAAAGCAGCTCAGGGGTTATCTCCCAGAAAGACGTGACACAAAGGCTAAATGATACAGAGCACAATGACAGGAACATACGGCCCTGTGTAGGAGGCTCTGTACTCTTTCCATAACCGAATTGTCAAACTTTACAGCTCTTGCTCCTGCTGCCTAAATGCAATATGCAGGGCAGCACCACAGCACCCAGCAAGGCATCTGTGTTAAAAACCAAGCATGCAAGAGAAGCAATGCAACAGGTGGATCGTTTCTTTCTCCTCAATAATGGATCTTCTTTACACAGTACAGGTGGAAGAGACTGAAAACAGACGTGCAACACATCCCGGTGAGGCAATCCTCAGGCCACTCCTTCTGCTTCTTCATATCTTCTTTGGAACTGGATTGACCAAAAGAGCTTCTGCAGTAGGAAGCACCTTGAAGCATTAGGGAAAGCTGGAGAGGAGATAGAATCATCACACCCCACGAAAGGCACCTTTACCTGCACTTGGCTTCAAAGGTTTTCGATAGAGATGACACACGGCAATTAAGGGGGAAAAGTCCCATGACATTTTGAAGGTCTGGAAACGATTAGTTTTCAATGAACACCACTTCTGAAAGCCAAAATTTGTATATCCATTATCTTCAGTCTTGATCTCTCCTACATTAAATCACGAGGCTGAGAAACTAAGATGTTAAATTACCCAAAAGGAGGGAAGCTGAAAGCTTTGAACTGAAATTACACGGCTTTAGAGGGGAGAAAACACCAGCTAATTCAGAGCTTATGTATTTTCCTTATACGAAGCCACAGAAAAACATTTCACTGTTTCAGCTGAAAACAGCCAGTTCCAAAACACAAGTGGGATGTTCCAGGAAGTCCACAAGAAACCTGTTGTGATGGGCAGCTATGCACTGTCAGAGATAGCAGGAGGAGAAAGGCCGCAGAGAAGGCACACCCTCCTCAGGGCTCTCAACCGTCCAGCAGCCACTTCCCCTTATCAGGCTTTCAGATACAAACACAACAAGCTGGCCGTTATCGCAGTCCCCACTCCCAGCTGAGCACTGCACCTTGCCTAGCAGCAGCAAGCAGTCTGGCTGACAGAATCATTGCCAGTGCTGTCTCCATCCCCAGCAGCTGAACCCCCAGAAGCAGGCAGTCAGGAGCTTTCAGTCTGGGGTGAAACATTTTGCGAATGCCCCTGCGGAAGCTGCTCTCTGCTTGCCCCAGCTCTTCCCAGAGGAAAGTCAGCACGAGCTGCCACAGCACAGGAGATTCTGTAACTGCTAATTCCTCAGCATAAACCATGTCACCGATCTATAGTTGTCTGCACTACAGTAAAGGGGGATGAAGCTCCAGAAAGTGCCTGAGAACAAGTTCATGCATGTAAAGCAGTCCAGCTGGCCGAACATTGCATCGCACCCAACTCCTTCTGCTACCCTTGTCTGACTGCAGCTCCATCTCCCATGCACTCCATTTTCCAAGTCCTGTCCCTAGGTGCACAGCACAACTCCACTGCAGTGTATTCTGCAGTTAAACACTATATTTGAAGTATTTTTGCTCAAATGTTTGAGCTGTTGTGGAGAAGAGTTGTTAGATCAGTTTCTGTGCTGTCTTTTGTGCCTGTGAGGACAGCAGAGTCCATCTGTTGCTTCAGAGTAAGAACACCATGGAGTTCAAACCTCCATCCTTCCTCCTCTTTGAAATGATCTTTTAAGCCAGGTGCATCACACTTCTCACCGCGATCCCTTCAGCGGGCCACCGCCTGCAAGCATTAATCAGACTAGAGGATTAAAACTTCAAACACTTGCTAAGTACTGAGGTACATCAGGAACAGAGACTTCTTGTTTTCCTCCTCGATCACCTGATAGAGGAAGAGGAGAAGGAAAGCTCGGTGACTTTCCCCATCACCTCCCCCAGAGCAGCACAAACCCAAATTAGTTCCCAGGACTGGAGACCAAACACACAGAGAGCCGTGATGCAATCAATACAGGCGGCCTTTGGAACAGCCAGATGATCAAAGGTTGGTTGGTGCAGGGCAGATGCAGTGAAGGATGCACATTGCACCTGGTGTCCTGGCAGTGCTGGCGAGCTTCAGGGCAGCCCGGCTTCACACGTCCTTACAATTGCTTCCTACACAGCCTCACCCCATACATGTTGGAAGCATAACTATTTGGAGGCTCAAACGAAAGCTGACTGCATTTCGTACCAGAAGTCTTTTAAATACAGCAAGCACAAAAAAAACCCACCTGGCTACATTAAGCTGGGAGGAGCTGAAGAGCTTTGGACAACACCTGGTGACCTGCTCGTACCTGAGCTGGAGCTTTTCAAACCCCAGCTCTTCTTGCAAAGTGCCTGAAGATCTCAGCAAAGCAGACGAGTCTGTTAACAACCTGAATGCAGGAGTTCATCAAATAAAAAAGCACAGCCTGGATATCAGGAGCAGGGGTACCAAGGGGCTACTGCTACTGGGAAATGCATTGTGTGCAAATAGCTCCTGATGATTGATTGTTCATGTCGAATCACACCCCAATGTTTCACCTGGCCTTACTTTGAGGGTCTGAACAACGCTCCAGCACTCCATCCCAAGTGTTCACACATGCTTCCATGCACAGATCTGAGGTTTCCTGAGCGAAGGTTCCTAACATCTTTGCTAGAAAGCAGAAGCACCTGAAGTCAGACCAAAAGCAATTACAAGGCCATCACCAGCTCAAACATGCCTGGAGACCTGCAGTCAAGCACACCCACTTCTGAGCAATACAGGTGGTTCACTCAACACTGAGCATCCCAACAGCCAACCCAGGGGGATAGAAACAACAATTTAAGGCAATTTTAATTTTGTCAGAAGTCAATATTCAGCCTTTTCTCTGCAATCAACAGAACGCAGATTAGAGCTCTGTATCATCAACCAAAGCACAGAAATATGTCAGCAGATGAAACTAGCCTACAGCTGCAAGTTCTCAGAATGAAGACAAGAGGGGACCTCTAGAAGAGATCTACCTTGAGGAGGACCCTATGGAGACTTTTGCCACCAGAAGCCACATCAAACAAGATGAGGACTTGCAGCAACAATAAAATGTTGAGCTTTTTTCTTTTTTTTTTTAAGCCTAATGCAAACCATCAGTATGTGGCACTCCACCATTAAATGCAGCATCACACCTAGCAGACTAACAGAGCTCAGCTTTCCCAACAGAAATGGAAGCGTAAACAAACACTGCTTGTAAATCATTGGAACGTGCACACAAAAATAAACCTTCCAAATTAGGAACCCCTTTGCAGCCAAGTGTGCTGCACAAAGGATGTTCAATCCAGCACCACCAGATACTTCAAATCAAATTAATTCACTTTCCCAGGGAATTGAAGAAGCTCCAAGTTTTACTCGGCAACCTCTCACCCTCTAATTTGGTATAGCAGCCAACAATTGAAATCCCCTCTTCCTTTTCACAATACAGCTCCCATACCAGCTTGGAAAGAATCCAATGTCTTTTAAGAAATGGCTCTTTACTGAGCACAGACAATTAAAAAACCAACCATACACACGTGCTGTGCAAAGCCTCCTCTGCTCCTACGCTCACACCAATCCTTCGTGCTGATGACCAGCGCTGGTTGCCATTTACGAACACTTCCAAACACCCTGATCCCAGCCACCCAGAGTCCCTGCACTGCTCCTGCACTAAAAGCCTTGAGCAGGTATTCAAGTGCAAATTCATTCAGTGCTGACTGACATAAAGCAAGCCCGAATTTTAAGAAAATAACTTCCCAAAAGGAGTTTCTGCTGTAGGAAGAGTGAAACGCACCGAGCCGTGCAGGCTCAGACACGCTCCAGCCACAGCGCAGGGAGCTGCAGTCAGCACTACAGCTTCACCTCGGCACACACAGAACAGCCTGGGCTGAAAAGGAGCACAGCGCTCATCTCCTTCCAACCCCCTGCTGTGTGCAGGTCGCCAACCAGCAGCCCAGGCTGCCCAGAGCCACAACCAGCCTGGCCTTGAATGCCTGCAGGGACGGGGCATCCACAGCCCCCTTTGGGCAGTCTGTGGCACATCTCTGCTGGACTGAGCGCAGCGGTGTGCCTGCAGGTTGGGGCGTGCTGTGCCAGGTGGGGGGGGTTTCATCCCAGATGCAGCGGCAGCAAAACACCCTCAGCCTCTGTTCTCCTTCTGGAGAAGGAATGTTTTGGTGCCAAAGCACCTGTTGGAAAAGTTCACTTTTAGTTTTACACCAAAAGCCAAAGTTCAACCTTTAACCCAAACTCCAGGACTTTGAACAGTAAATAAATGACAACAGGCAGCCCGTGCGTGCTGCTCTATTAGAACCAGGACCCGTGAGAGGGCCTTAGCAGAAACACAAGCAGTCAGAACAGCCCACAGTCAGCATTCGGGCTGCAATTCCAAAGAGGCGTAGCTCTAGGAAAGTGTTTAATAAACAACAGGGAAAAAGACAACTCAAAGCATTTAACCTGTCTTTCTTGAAGATCAAAGAGCAGACTCAGAAACTACAGACGCATGCGTTCACCTGGAGCATTCCTGCAGCACCACCAGTGAAATCAGCTGGCAGTTTCTTTGCACTGTCCTGAGCCTGAAAAATACCTGGGGAGCGACTCCAGGTGAGCTGGAGAGGTGGGCTCACTTTTAAAGGCTCCTCTGTGTTTCTTCACCATCACCAAACCACTCTTCTGCCCGAGAGATCTGAGAACAGCAGTGTTCAGATAACTCACCCCTCCCAGCAGAACTGCTCATTTGTTTTAAGTGTTAAATGCAATTCCTAATGAATACACTGGAAATATTATTTCAAAACACATTACAGATTACACACAGCACCATCTCAAAGGCCTACAACAAGGAAGTAGCTTCAGGCCTGCTGACTGTATCATTATCAAAGAGCAGGCTGCCACATTTACGAAGAAAGTTTTTTTCCAATTAGTCTCTATGAACATATCTAATGAGAGCTCAGGCACCAAACAAGTGCCCTGAGCCCTGCTGTGACCTCCTCACCATTTCCTGCACACCAGCATTAATTCTGACACAGAGAACGAGGAAATATCACTGCAGTGCTGCAGCTTTAGCAAAAAAAAAAAAAAAAAGTGATTTGATGGTGTCACTGAGAGGAATTATTTGCAGGACAGAATGGTGGTAAAAGATTCAGACCCTCATTCTACACCAAGAAACCTCCTGTTGTGCCGCTGCCCAACATCACCTGGAGTAGAGTGGATTACAGCACTGACTTCCACGTAGTCCTTCGACATAACAAAGGAAAGGTGCATCCAGAAAGGGGAAACGTGGCTTGGTTGAAGCTTTTTGCAACAGCAGAGAACAGGATTGGCACATTCAGGCCGACACTGCAGCGAGGTGGGAGCTGGGAACGGGACAGAAGCTGTACAGCACCCATAGCTCAGGGAAGCAGCATCCTGGCACAGACACCCGAGGAGAACCAGCAGCACCTGTCAGCACGGCTGGCCCGAGCCTGGGCTGCTGAAAGGCTACACCTCACAGGCTGCAAGCCCACTGCAAGAGCCCCAGCTGATCCTCCCGTACTGCTGGATGTGTTACACCAAGCTAAAAGAGTTCTTTTTTTTACACACGCACACCCCCAGCCAACAGGGCTAATTAACTTATCCTAATTAAAAAAATCACGCTATCAAATTTTTTGCTGCCCGAGTCGTGAAAGCCAAGCCGTTTTGATCACTGAAGACCATCCCTGGAGGTGCTCAAGAAATGTTGAGACATGGGACTGAGGGACGGGGTTCAGTGGTTGGTTGGACAAAGTGATCTTGGAGGCCTTTTCTAACCAGGGTGATTCCATGATTCTTCAACTGTAATCAAATATGTCATGTTTAACAAAGGGGCTCAAGGAGTTGTACAGAAGCTACTGTTACTTCACTCCTACAAAAGAAAGCAGCACTTCAGCACAAACCAGGAACACCGGGGTTATACACAGTAACCCCACCAGTCACTTTCCAGCTTCTGCTGGAGTTTCCTCTCCCCAGGAACATCACAGAACAACAAAAACAACAAAAAACCCACACCACAACAGCAGTGCCACAGTGTCACATATAGCGTTACTCATGTTATCAAGACCACATGAATGAGGCAGGAAAGCATTTCCTGCCCTGCACCACTTCTCCAAAGCAAACTCCTGAACTCCTCTAGAGCAGAGGCCTTATTTTACATCACATCAGCTTTTAATTGTATTACTTGTTATTCCCTTACTCCTTCTGCAGAAGCAGATTTGCAGTATTTACTATAGGGTTGTAGGAAAATAGAAAGAAGTGAAAAGACAAAGTTGACTGCTTCGCCATATTTCTGTTTATTAGTTCAGCAACTCCACGCAAGTTTCATTTTGTTCTCAACTGTTGCTCTCCAGGCTTTCAACTCAGACTCCCAGTTCCAAACTGGAAGTTTCCGGAGTTCATTTTATGCTGTTAATGGGTAAAGCAGAGTCCGCCTCAGTATCTGCTGTTAATAATTTCTGAAACACAGGGCACTTCACCTCCCCGCATCCTTTGCGGGGACGGGATGTAAACAACAAGAAGGGCACTAACCCAGATGTGAGCCAACTCACCGGACTGCTATCAGCGGTGGGTTTAAAGGTGCAAGCAGCAATAACGAGGAAACCCCACACGTCGGACGGCAGCAGCCCCACCGCGCTCTTACAGCCGCCGGGTTTCCCCACGCCACTCTCACTCCTCGCTTTCCGTTTTCTCACATTTTCCCCCCAGCTGCAGCCTCCCCCATTACCTGCACTTCTGCTTTCCACAAAGAGCCTTCACAAAATCAAGAAAAACAACAAGGAAAAGGCTCGGCTAGCCCCGTGTGCGAGCAGAGCGACCAAGGGAGCTTCACAACCCCTCCGCTCAGCCTTCTTCCCTCTTTAACAACCCGGCCCCACGCAGCCTCGCCCAGAAATGCCCCTTTAAGGCCTCCCCAGCCCCAAATCCCCCCCCCCGCTAATCTCCGTTAACAGCCCTTCTCCCCCCTCGCCGGCAGCAGCCCGGCCCGCCGCCTTCTCACGGCGGGGCCTGCAGCCCGCGCCGCTGCCGAGGCCTCTCCCTACCCCCCTCAACCCCAACCCGGGGCCGAGGCCTCCTCAAGCCGTCGACCCCCAGCCGCCCCCCGGCCCCTCACCAGTTGGTCATGTCGAGGAAGAAAGCGCAGCCGGCCGGGCTAAGCTGGAAACCGAGGAGCCTCTGGAACTCGCCGATCAGCACGTCCTTGTCGGTAGTACCCAAACAGCTGAACTTCTGCATCAGCTCCGCGTCCAAATCCACGTCCATGCCCTCCATGGCGAAGCGCGCCCCGCCGCCCCGGGGTCGCCCCGCTGCCGCCGCCGCCGCCGCCTCAGCGCCGCATGGGGGCGAGGGGGGAGCGCGGGCACGGCGGGGGGCGGGGGGGAGGGGGCGCGGGCGACGCCAGGCGCTAACGGCACTGCGCATGCGCCGCTCCGCCCCGGCGCACGCGCTTGTGACGTCACCGCGCCGGCGTTTCCCCGCGCTCTGCACGGCGCTGTTCTGTTGCGGAAGGGGAACCGCAAGGGCGAGCGGGGAGTGGATGCAAATGAGAGCGTGGCGTACGCCTGGCGTGACGCGAGGGCGCAGCGCAGCCAATGAGAGCGGTGGAAAGGAAGGCGATTTGCATAACCCCCCCCCAGCCGCACGTTCCCATATATGGAGGCGACGCGGGAGGCGAGCCGCGTGTTTATGTATGCAAATTAGTCACGTGCGGACGGGGCCGTGTGACGTCACCTGGAGCTGTGGGGCGGCGCAAGGGCTGCTGGGACGGCGGGGCGGCTGTACGCCTTCGGGCCTGGAATTTTCCTCAAAATGCTGTTTTTTGCCTGAATTCCCCTCAAAGTGTCGCTTTTTGCTAAAGTTTCCCATTTTATGGTGGCAGTTCCGCGCACTGAGCCCTGACCTCAGCGTCTCACGTGGGAAACCTAAGTGATGTCTCAAACACAGGCCCTGACCACCCTTTAGCACTGACAGGGCGAGCACAGGCCATTATGCCTTCATTTCTGACTCTGTCTAAGGCATGCTGGGCTTTAACATAAGCATGCTAAGCTACAAAAGGCGTTCTAAACACAGGCCCAGCTGAGGGCTTTGTAGTGCTATGCAGGGCAGCTTTGTTCTGACAGTGCCACCCTTGTGTTGGGGTGCGTGGGTAGAAATGAGTAGCAGCTGTACAGGGGGGTGAGGGTCAGTGTGGAGACTGCACAGAAAAACAAACAGTGGGATTACAAGCAAAATAAATAGAGCATATCGTCTTGCGGTGCTCGTTCTTTGCTGTAAGACTTAGTAAGTAGTGCTGCCCCTGTCCCTGCAGCCCCAGCAAGCAGGGTCGTGCTGTCACCGCCTGTGTTGTATGCTGGATCTTGTGATCTGTGATGCTGATACAGACTGCGGTGGCAGGGCTGTGTCCACGTGGCCGTGCCAAGCACCTGCCTACCTCCATGGTGTCTTGAAAGCCCTGGGTTCAACCACAGATCATAGAACGGCTCTATGATTGAAGGCTCTGTGATGGCTTGGTGGAAAAAGGGGCCCTAAATCACAGATGGCTCTGTGATGGAAAGGAATTTAAATACCATTCAGCCCCAACTCCCCTGCCATGGTCTGAGTGCTTCCCACCAGATACCCAGAGCTCCATCCAGCTTGGTCTTTAGCAACCCCAGGGATGGGGCACTCACAGCTTCTCTAGGCACAGTGCCAGGACCGCACCACTGCCTGGGAACCTCACTCGTGGTACTGGCACGGCTCCCAGGGCTGTGGACACAGCCCCAAGTTGCCAGAGCTCAAGGGGTATTGGGACGCTGCTCTCAGCCATTGAGTTTGGGTTTGGGTAGTGCTGCGTTGAGATGGGGTTGGACCCTACGGTCCTTCCCAGCTCGGGTCATTTCATGATCCTGCGGTTTAGTGATTCAAGCACAGATGTGGATACGGGCAGAGCCGGGGAGCCCGCTGTTCCGAGCGCTGAGGAAACGCAAAACAGCCGCGCTGCTTCGTTTGTCCCTCTCGCGCCACCGTCGAGAGCGCGCCGAGCATCCTGTGGGCTCGCCGGGGTCACGTGACGGAAGGAGCTGCCGTGTCGCCGTCTGATTGCGTCACTTCCTGGCGGCGGCGCGCGGGGAGCACCATGCCCAAGTGAGCGCGGCACCGGGCGGGAAGGTGGGATGGCCTTGGGAGGGGCTGTGGGCTTCTGGGGTCTGTTAGGGCTCGAGGCCGCCTGGTTCGGCAGCGGGGGCGTTAGGGGCTCGCGTTGGTTCCGCTCTCTGGCAGCGTGGGAAGATGGAGGGTGGGTCCCGGTGATGCAGAGCGCTGAGAGCCGCTGTGCTGCGGCTGTGGAGGGCTGTGCTGTAACAGGCGCAGCGTGAGGTGCTGTCGCTAACGGGTGCTTTTCCCCCGCCAGGTTTTACTGTGACTATTGTGACACGTACCTCACCCATGATTCGGTGAGTACCGAGCCTTCATCTTTGGTTCTGACTGTACCAAAGTGAAACTTGCACGGAGTAAAAGCGAGTTATTTGAAATGCTGAGGTGTTGTGCTTGCTTGTCATAGCAGAAAGAAAGAAAGAGGAGGAATAGGTGTGCCAGAAATACTCAACAACTCTTATATTAGTAGGAGGCAGCTGGCTTAGCATTAGCATGCTTTGTGCTCAAACTTGAGTCTTAATCGTGGTAGTTATATATATAAGTTATATATAAGGTAGTTATATATAAGGGTTGTGCGGCACCTTTCCTCTCCCTGCACACAAAAACCAATCTGTTCTGTGCTTGCAAAGGAGATAGCTGTATCAAAGTTCCTAGAAATTGTGGTGTTACGTGGTGTTTTGTGAGCTTTAGGTTTATGTGATCTTTCTCAGCCCTCCGTGAGAAAAACTCACTGCAGTGGCCGAAAGCACAAAGAAAATGTGAAAGACTACTATCAGAAATGGATGGAGGAACAAGCTCAGAGCCTGATTGATAAAACAAGTAAGACGAATCCTTTTGTGATCTTGGTGTGCTTTGCTTTTGCTTCTGTCTTTAAGTGCTTTCCTTCCTTTTTTTCTGTGCTGATTCAACATAACTTCCCTGGTAATTCTGTGAAACACAAATGAAAATGTGACTTAGAGTCTGAACTCATCCCAGCGTGATCTTTGCATGACAGATGTGTGGCCCTGTGTGATGGGTCCTGCAGCAGTTAAAGTTTTAGTGTTGCTGAGGTGGTTGTGGTTACACCCACCTTTAGCACTGCTCATAATGTACGAGCTGCCATAGCACACAGCTATGCCTGTGGTCAGGGATTTAGACTTTCTATCTCAGGCTGCTGAGTTGTAAATAATACCCTTAGGGTCAAGTTTTTTTGATAGTGAAAGTGTCCTTGGTTGTTTTTGTTTTCCTCCCTCACTGCTGTAGGCTTCAATAAAGTTTCCTTTGTCAGTGTTGGGGATTCTTCTCCTCTAAGCTGTCTCCCTAATACAAATTCTTTTCAGTCTGAATGGCATAAATAGAAGTGCCAAATTCACCTTAATGGCAACTTTCTTCTTTAGATGCTTCCAGCTGTCGCATCTCTGGCCTTCTTTTTGATCAACTCCAGTCTCTTGAGTTTCTTCTTTTCCCTTTCACACTAGCTATTTTCCGTGCTTTTTGTCACCTGCCTTTAACATGGATTACATGGATTAATCTAATGATCCTAGGTGAAAAGTTACAGCTGCAAATCATGTGACATATTTTTTCTGCTATCTACTACAGTAGGTGTGTGAAATTCATCACGGAGCTCTCTAGTCTCAGCTGGAGTAATTACTGTAATAACTGTCTTCAGGAATATCAGGTGCTTCCATCTTGACAAGCAGTGTAAACCAGGGATTTGTTCCAGAGTAAGAACAAATGAGTTGCACCACAACGCTAAGTATGTTCTGAGTGCTGGCCGTGGGAAGGAGCGTTGAGGCAGGAGCTTCCTCTGCTTAGTAACTGTGTTTTCTTCTGGGATTCTTTCTCTTTTTTTTTCTTTTTTTTTTCCCCCCCAATGTAGCGGCTGCATTTCAGCAAGGGAAAATTCCACCGACCCCATTCTCAGCACCACCTCCTGGAGGAGCCATGATCCCACCGCCTCCCAGCATCCGTAAGTCCCTGCTTTTGGGCTGTAATGGCAGACCTCTTTAGCAGCGTTCTGTGTTTCCTGGAGTTGCCAAGAAAAGTCCTCTTAGCTTGGGATCGAGCAAGGAAGCGTTGAGCTCGTGAATATTGGAATGTAAGGGAATGCACTGCAAGATCTTCAGGTTGTGCCTTAGTAATGCTGAGCACACCAAGAGAATCGTGTGCTCCCTCATTACTTGATAGCTGCTGTGCAGATAACCTCGTGAAAACTTCCAGCACAGTGGGGTTTTTCTATAATAACGTAAGATTGATAACCTTGTTTTGCCCTGTGACTGGCAAACGTTTGAGATCCCCTTGTGCAGAGCCTGGCTGTGGCAGTTACTTGCATTAAATATGCAAAGTTGGAAATAATAGCTGGGCTATTCTTTGCTTCTCTATCTGGCACCTGAAGTCAAAGCTGAAACTGATAACGAAGGCAGGCAGTTGTAAAACAATGAAAGTTATTGGAATTGCTGACGTTTCCTGTGAAGGTTAATAACAGTTTGAAATGGCACATTGCTGAGGAGAGCTCCTAACTGATCTGTGTGTGTCCAGCTGGCCCCCCGCGGCCTGGCATGATGCCGGCCCCCCACATGGGTGGACCACCAATGATGCCAATGATGGGCCCACCCCCGCCAGGAATGATGCCAGTTGGACCTGGTAAGTGGGAAAATAATTCTGTGTGATTAGCAGTCGCCAGCCTGTTCTGTTCTGTCCTTTACTGCTCGTCGAAAGCGCTTACGAGTCCTGCTGGAATTATTGCTGTGGTAAATGGCAGGTCTTCTACCTCTAGTCTTACAGCACAGCCTTTAATTATTTAGCAGCTTTATGATTGCAGCGCTCTCATCTTTGCACTAGAGATGCTCTTCAGCAGTAAGTGAAGCTTATTGTTTAAAATGTCCTGCAGTAATGTGTTCCAGAGAAGCAATTTACCTCAAAAAGGTAAACTGAAATGTTTTGTTCTGCTTATTGGCATTTGAAGGATTCTCAGAGGACGTTTTACTGACTGGAGCAAATCTAAGGGAATACACACATGCACACCAAAAGCAGTGAAGTGCACCTGCAGGTGCTGCAGTTCTGGTAGATAATGCTCTGTGACACGGGCAGCACAGTGGCTGCTGGGCAATGAATGGAGGGCTGCACTGAAGGCACTGTCTCTCTGCTTTTTGGTAAAGCACCTGATGTCCTTTGGCAATGCTGTTCCTCAGCTGTAAGAAGCACACCAGGCCTTATGCAAACACCCTTAACTGGAGGACTTTGCAGCACTTTATTCCAACTGAACTTTCCAATTCAGTGATGGAGCTGGCATCTCTTAGGAGTAGCTGAAATAATTTTGTCAGTCAATATTGTCAAAGCCAGACACGTCACTCAGAAATGTGATTCTTCCTCTACTAATTTCTAATATCCTTCAGGGAAACGTAACCCATCCCCCTGTGTTCTGGATCCAGATGACACACTTAAAAATGAAAGCTGTCTGGGGAGAAAACCTGCACGTTCCCAGCAGCTGCTGATCCTGAGAGCTTTCCTCTGATGTCTTCTCTTTCCTCTCATAGCTCCAGGGATGAGGCCCCCGATGGGAGGACACATGCCAATGATGCCAGGGCCCCCAATGATGAGGCCACCCTCGAGGCCCATGATGGTGCCAACCCGGCCGGGGATGACCCGTCCCGACAGATAAAGACGTGGAGCCCTCTGGTTCTTTTCATGCTGTGCTCTTCCATGTGCTAAAATGCCGTAGTCCTACGTCCCAAGGGTTTTATATGAAAGCAGGGTGTAGATGAGAGCTGCTCTTATTTCAGATTGCAGGCTGTTTGCCTTAGATGCGCACTGGAGTGATGCTTTTGTAACTGGTCTGGTTTTTGGTTTGTTTCCCTGTTGAAATAAAACATTGAAGCTGGTTTATGTATGGAACACCTGAAGCCTGCTGTGATTTTCTGCCTGGCAGGACGTCTCTCTTCGCTGCACCCTCTCCACTTGTGCTGCACTTGGCTTTTTAAGGTTTCTTTTTTCCTTGAGTCGACTTCCACATCACACCCCTAGAGAGGGGAACAACTCTCTGCTTTCTTTAACTAGAAATTCTTGCTTCAAAACAAGCATGCATGGTTTTAATTTACAAAAGTGATGTCAAAAAGGTCTGCAGTCATCTCCCTAACTGGGGAAACTAACGTTAATCAGTGTTAATTCCTAACGAAGCGGGATGAGTTAAATAAAATCTTGATTCCTTGTAGTGAGAAGCAAAGAGATGCTGTTAGAAGCTCACTGCTTGCAGTGAGGGATTGAAGTCATCGCTTTGCCTCTCACAAGTGTGTTTTTAATTTGCTGTTTGTGTGTCACGTGTCATCAAATTATCTGAGCTGTGGAGGCAGCAGTGATGATGCCCACGTTTCTTCTTCAGGGAAGGAATGTGGGGTTAAAGACAATTACCAAAGCCCTTCTGTTGGTGCAGAGGGCTTTGTGGTTTTCATGTGCTTAATGCAAGCATACAGTTCTAACTGAATCCAAAGAATGTATTCTGTTTGCATAACCACCTGCTCTGTGCACGATGGTTGTCGTCTGTTTTTATAGGTGGAATTTTCCAACTCATTCTTGGCATATTTGTATCTAACATGAAAGAGTGGGAGTTATCTTGCAGGGAAGTGTTTGGTCAGCACTTCTGCAAGGGCTCCTTTTCTGAGTTGAATCATTGATACGAGGTGGTATTTTAGGAAGGCATTTTTCATGCCTTCAAGTCTACAAAGCACGTGGGGTGGCTGCATGCTATCAGATTAAAGCAACGTATGCAGCCAAGTGCAAAGCACGTGGCTTCCTTGGTGAAGGACTGACTGATCAGTTTAATGCTCCAGTGCCTTATTTGAAGAACAACACAAGCATTTATGAAGGATTTCTTTGTTCAGCACAGCCTTGGAAGCAAAGCACTCCCTTGTAGCACAATATGAAATCCCCCAGCATGTGAAATGTAACTTGCTGTCCAAGGAGCAATGCAGCATAAATGAAGGAGCACAGAAACTGCTCTAAGATTATGGTTATTTTTTTTAATTCCAGCAATTGTTTTATGCTGAATGCTTTTAGGACTCAGCACTGCTTCTCAAAGGCTGGTTTTGGCTGTCCTGAGGTGGCTCATACAGAACGAGGTGTGAAGCTGCTCAGGGATTTTCCCTGCACCTCCAGCACTGTGAGCAATTAGTGCTAATAAAGGCAGAACTGAGAGCTGCCTGAAGCTCTGGCTCTGCCCTGCTCCTGTCAGTGCTGGCTGATAATGGCTGGCTGAGGTGGAGCTGCTGGACCCCATAAGGAGCTTCCCTTGTGCTGCTGGGTGCCACAGGCTTGGATGGGTGTCTGCTGGGTCCAGAACTGGCTGGATGCTGGGTATGGAGAGTTTGGGATGGAGTTAAATCCAGCTGGTGCCTGGTCAGCAGTGGTGCTCCTTGGGGTGAGCACTGGGGCCTGTTCTGGTCGATATTTTATTGATGATCAGGATGAGGGGACGGAGTGCACCACAGAATCACAGGATGGCCAAGGTTGGAAGGGACCTTGAAGCTCCAACCCCCCCCCACATGCAGGGCCACCAACCTCCCCATTTCATACCAGCCCAGGCTGCCCAGGGCCCCATCCAACTGGCCTTGAACACCTCCAGGGATGCACAGGGCATCACAGCCTCTCTGGGCAGCTGTTCCAGCACCTCACCACTCTCATAGTAAAGAACTTCCCCCTGACATCCAACCTCAATCTTCCCTCCCTCAACTTCAAACCATTTCCCCTTGTCCTGCTGTTATCTCCCCTTTCCAAGAGTTGATTCCCCTCCTGTTTGTAGGCTCCCTTTAGGTACTGCAGGCTGCAATGAGGTCACCCCACAGCCTTCTTTTCTCCAGGCTGAACAAGCCCAGCTTCCTCAGCCTGTCTTTTTAGGGAGGTGCTGCAGCCCCCTGATCACCTCTGTGGCTCCTCTGGACCCTCTCCAACAGCTGTCTTTCTTGTACTGGGGGCTCCAGACCTGGGGCCTCACAAGAGCAGAGCAGAGGGGGACGATCACCTCCCTGTCCCTGCTGGCCACCCCTCTGCTGATGGAGCCCAGGATCCCATTTGCTTTCCGAGCTGTAATCAGACACTGCTGGCTCATGTTCAGTTTTTCATCCATCAGGACCCCCAGGTCCTTCTCTGCAGGGCTGCTCTCCAGGAGCTCCTTCCAGTCTGTACAAATGCCTGGGATTCCTATGGCCCCAGTGCCAAACCCTGCACTTTGCTGTGTTGAAGCTCATCAGGTTCACCCAGGCCCACCTTTTGAGCCTGCTGAGGTCCCTCTGCATGGCATCCCTTCTTTCTGCCATGTCGATCGCCCCACTCAGCTTGGTGTCGTCAGCAGACTTGCTGCATTCCATCATCGCTGTCATGGATGAAGGTGTTACAGAGCACCAGGACGGAGCCCTGGGGGATGCCCTCATTACCAGCCTCCACCTGGACACAGGCACCCTCTGGAAGTCTGCAGATGGCACCGAGCTGGGAGGAAGCGCTGATGTGCCTGGGGGGGAGGAAGGCCCTGCAGAGGGACCTGGACAGACTGCACTGCTGGGCTGAGGCCAAAGGGGTGCGAGTGCCACATCCTGCGCTTCAATGAGAGCAGCTCCATGCAGAGCTGCGTTGGGGCAGTGACTGGAAAGCTGTGCGGAGGAGAAGGGCTTGGAGGTGTCAGCTGACAGCAAGAATGTGATGGCAGCCTGGTTGTGTCAGCAGCCAGCAGGAGCAGGAGGTGACCGCCTGTCCTCAGCGCTGCGTTCTGAGCCACTCCTTCAACAGAGACCTCGTGGTGCTGCGGGTGGGCATGGAGCTACAAGGGCTCTGATGGGGAGCTGGGATGGCTGAGTCTGGAGAAGAGGAGCTCAGGGGGGACCTCGTATCCCGAAGGGAGGCATTGGTGAGGTGGGGGTCGGCCTTTGCTCCCAGCTAACAGCAATGGACGGGAGGTGATGGCCTCGTGTGGCACCAGGCAGGGGCTGGGCGTTAGGGATGGTGCTGCAGTGGCACAGGCTGCTGGGGGGCGGTGGGTCACCGTCCCTGCGTTGGAAATACCCAAATAATGTATCAGGACGGTATCTCTGATAAAGCAGATTTTATTCACAATTGCAGTGGTGGACCTCCTGCAGGCAGGAGAGCACCCAGAAAACAGCATTCCATCTTTTATGCCCTATTACTTGACGCTTATCTCCTCTCCTGGTTCCTCATTGGCCGAGTGCTTCAGGATCGCAATCTTCCTGATGCTCAACTGAACACCCAAATACTGGCTAAACATCAGTTGTTGCAGCTGAGCATGTATTGCTAATTAGTAACTTCTCACATTTGCTCACTCAACACTCGGTCGCTCTTTCTGCACATCTGCTCGTCCCTACATACAGATAAGCTTGGAAGGAGGACAGAGGGCCTTGATGCCTGCCTGCTGCACCCCAACCTGCCCAGAGCAAGGCAAGCCAGCCAGCGTGCAGCCCTGCCTGCTTTGATGTTTGCTAAGTCTGTTTTTCTTTTGCTGAGGGTCTCTTATCCAAACAGAACAGCCCTACAACATGCTCTCTAGTCCATCACACTATACCTACACTATTTGCAACATTTAAAAACTACTGCATTTTGCAAGCAAGAATTGAGCAGCTGTATTCCTAAAGCATGTTACCAACATAGATGGCATTTCTACCTTTTCACATCACATTTCTAAGGACAAGTTACAAAACACAAACTGTGCTCTACTCCTTCAATCAATTCCCCCTTTCTAAATACCAAACGCAGCACCAACGTTCCATTCCTACACCTGGGAGAGGCCGGGAAATGCGGGGATGTGGCACCGAGGGCCGCGGTCAGCGGGGCGCGGAGCGGGGCGGGCTGAAGGTCTCGGCGCTGTTTCCGGACCGTAACGATCCCGTGCCGCACGGAACGGCTCCAGAAGCGTTTTTTCCACCCGCGGTGCCGCCCCTTCGGGCAGACAGCGGGGACGGGGCCGCGCGGGGCCGCCAGAGGGCGGACGGGAGCGGCGGGGCGGAGCGGAGCGGCGCAGGAGCGGCGATGGGGGACCGACGGCCGCAGCGCTGAACCCCCCCGACCCCTCCCGACCCCCCCAGCCCCCCCCGCCGCGGCATGGCCGCCATCATCAAGAAGCAGATCCTGAAGCACCTGTCCCGGTGAGGCGTCCGCGGAGCCCCCCGTGGGGCCGGGATGTGCGGGAGGGGTGCGGGGGGGGCACGAGGTCCGTCCGTCCCGATGGCCGTGCTGTTCGTCCCGGGGGGATTCGGCCGTCCCGGAGCTGTAGGATGCGCTGCGTTCAGGGGCTGCTCGCGTCGGTGAGGTTGGAGGAGGGAGCTGGAAGCTCCGTGGGAATGGCGGCTTTTTATTTTGGCTCTGCGCTGACCTTGGTTGGTTCCTCTGCCTCAGTTTCCCCGCGGAGGTGCGGAGCGGCAAGGTTTGCACAGCGCTCTGAGGAGCTGCAGGACCGCTGGGGTCGGCAGGGATCTCTAAAAGCCATCCCTGCACGCCCGCAGCTCCATCAGTGCTCACAGCCCCCTGGGGTCTCTGGGGACGCGGCATCACCGCCTCCCTGCAGCCCGTGCGGTGCCTCACCTGGCCGCAAACCTTCCTTACATCCAACTTAAACCTCCCCTCTTTGAGACCCTTTCCCCTTCCCCTGTCACACAGACCCTGCCGTCCTGTGTCCCCGTCTTTCCCAGCTCTCAGCCTGTCCCTGCAGGGCCGCATCCCATCCCTGGGATCACTTCTGTGTGCGCTGTGAGCTGCGGGTGATGGAGCCACTCTGTGCCTCTGGCAGAGAGACTCAGATGTACATTGAGGGGCACGAGATCATAGAGACTAACCCAGCATTCCATGGGATCGGTGCTGGAGTGAGGATTAAAACCGGGAGTCCCCTCCCTGGAGCTGAGGGGAGGCACTGAGATCCCGAGAGGAATCCCTGCAGACTTGAATTGAGCTCCACGGGGTGTCCATCTGCATTGGTTTGGGCTCAGTGCTGCTCAGTGCTGTGTGCAGCAGGGCCTGCTGCTGGCTTTGCTGCATTCAAATGAATTTCTGCTCATCTGACATCACGGATCGTCAGGATTCTTGTGCTGTTCCATCTCAAAGCATGGCACTGATGGATCTGGGATGGATCTGGGATGGATCAGCCTCCCAACCTTCGGATTGCTAGCAAGGAGAGGTGGATGAGAGCAGCAGCTCCTACAGGCTGGAGCAGAGCTGAGCATTATTCCTCCCTGCTGCTTTGCCTGGAGTTTAGGAACGTATTTGGGAGTGCTTGGTCTGATCCTGCCTCATTCTCACTTAAATGTTGCAGATACTTTGCAGCAACGCATTTTGAACACTGATACTGTATTAAAAAGAGGATGTTTTTCCATTGCAGTTCTGTTTGCTGCAGATAACTCTGCTTCACACTCCCTTTGGGTTTTTCTTTCTGCTGTGCTCATTTGCCTGGAAGAATTTCACCGCTCAATCGTTAACCTGCCTTTATTTCCAGCTTTCCATTTGCATATGAAGCAATTCCTTGCTCCTTGTGTTATGTGTGGAGCGCGCTTTTGTTCCTTCTATCTCTGCAGATTTGCAAGGAAGGGATCAGAGAGGCAGAGAGATGAGGGAAGTATGAAGGAGCTCTTTCACACCACTGTTCAGACCGGGTGAATCACAGCAGTGTCCGCTGGGATCCCCGTGGCTGCTTGCAGGGATCTGTGAGGCTGAGTTTCCCCACTGGTGGCAGAGCGGCTGTGTGTGAGCTGGGATGTGGGGAAGGCAGGGATTTCTCTGTCATCACTGCTTCGCTTCCCTTGGCTGCTTTGTTTTCCTCCTTCCCCACCTTTGGAAGCTGCTGAATGAAGGGTTGGGGCTCCACGAGCATCCTGATGAATGCTGGAGCTGAGCTGTATCTGGCTGGCGCAGGGCAGCACAGCCATCCATCCTGCCCTCCACTCTCACTTGCTGCTCCATGCAGGTGCTGCACAGAGGAAGATGAGGCCTGGAAGAAGCTGCAGAGCCATGCTGCACCTTTGGGGATAAATGAAAGAAGTTTTAGGAGCAGAACTAAAAAAATATCCTAGAAAACAAAACAGTTGCGTACCATCTACACGATGTAATGCTTTGATGAGTGCAAATGTAGGTCAGATAGCAGCCAGGAGGAATGACACTTCTTTCACGTGATGCTCGTAAACCAGAGTGCATCTCAGCACGGCACCTCCAGCTCCCGGTGCTTTGGGCCTTGGCAGGACTGCTTTGCCTCTCCCCCTTCTGTTTGCAGCTGCATGTAACCTCTGCAGCTCATAAAGCCCCTGCTGGCACAGAAGCCTGCAGCGTATCCTTCGTTTCTTCTTCTGGATCAGTTTAGCAGTATGTGGGTGTTGCAGGCAGTGCCTTTGCCAGGGATGAATAAGGCTGCTGTGTGCTGTTCTGAAATAACATGGGTCTGAGAACCTCAGAATCCCTTCCTGGCCTTAAAAATCCACTTCTTATTGCCCTTTGCAAGCAAGGGCTGCTTCTGCTCCACCTGCACTGCCTGCTTCTCTGGGAGGCCTCAGGTCCCTTTGCTTCTCATTTCTTGTCCTCTGTGTGCTCAAATACTGAGCTGCAGCTGTGGCTTTGCAGTGACAACCAAGGCAGTGGATTTTCAGTGAGGACAACGTGTTGGAAACCCTCTGCTTTAGAAGGACCTGCTACCAATATCTGGGCTGCAAGAACCCTCTGAGTTTCTTCCAATTTCCTGACTTTGATTCTAAATTAACTGCCAGAAATGGAAAGAGCGTGGTGGGTAGGGGGAAAAGCAAGGAGGTCACATCTGAGAGTGGGCTGATGAGATCTGCAGACCATAAAATGATTTGGGTGTCCCAGGGTCCTCTGCAGGTCTCTTCTGCAATTGGCTCCAGTTTCAGCTGGAGCTGATTTCATGTTCTTCAGAAATCAGGGAAATCTCTCCTGCAGAAGACCATAATTGCCCTAAAGTAGCTGGGAATTAAGTGAAAGCACAGAGCTGCCAGCGGGTAAAAACTGATGTTAAAGCAGCCATTAGTCTCCCATCTGCAGAGCATTCTGTTCTGTGGTTCTGTTCAGCCAGGTAATGGAATCACAGCATCATCTAAGCTGGAAAAGTCCTTCAGGATCCTTAGGTCTCATCACCAAACTGTCCCTCGGTGCCGCATCCACACATTTCCAAACGCCCCCAGGGATGGAGTGCCCACCACCTCCCCGTGCTGCCCCTTCCAACACTTGGCTGCCCTCTCCGTGCAGAAATTTTTCCTGATTCTGATCTAAACCTCTCCTTGTGCCACTTGAGACCTTTTCCTCGTGTCCTATCACTTGTCACCCGAGAAAGGAGATGGGTCACCTCATTGCTGAGCCTCCTGCCTGGTGGCTGTGCGTTGCTGGGCTCTCCCCTCCTCCTCTCTCTCCCCACACTCGTGCATCTTCCTCATCTCTTCACCTACGTCCCTTCTCTTCGTCTGAGCATCCTTCCTGCAGGGATCTGAGCCCAGTATTTGAGGTGAGGTCTCACCAGGCACCTCTTCCAGCTGCTCTCCCCAAGCCTGCACTGCTGCATGGGCTCCGTGTGACCCAGTGCCTTGCTGGATGCCATCTGAACTCAGCCCCTTAAGGGATTTTTTTTTTATCTCGCTGTACCTTTTCATGGCTTTTTGTTTAGATTTAAATATTGAGGAACTCTGTATGCAAAGTCAAAAGCCTGAGGTGTTGTAGTTACTTAATACAGCAAGTAATTCCTTGTTCAAACAGGGGTGGGGAGGGAGAGCGTAAGCATGACAGGATGTGACATTTATCTTTCACAGAAAGTAATCTCTAACGCCAATCAGGGCTGCTGGGCCGCCAAATTGTCATCTGATGAAACATGCATCAGCTGCTGCTGCAAGGTGTTTGCAGCTGCTTCCCCTCAGCTCAAGGGAGCAAGGTGTGCCCTTTCCAGAATGCTAAATAGGCTCTTGCTAACGCAAAAAGAAATTGCACTACCATTGCTCAGGCTGCATGCATCTCCCTGCAGCAGCTGGGCTTGGTGGAGCATTGCAGCGATGCAGTGCAACCTCCTCGAGCTGCCGGTGCTCTGCAGACCAAGCAGTGCTCACAGCACGGGCTCTCCTCAGTGTGTTTCATTTCTGTTCTGCTCAGCTGGCTCTGAATTATGTCATCACTTCGGATTTCCTGCCATTGGGAAAGAAAAACGCGGCTCAGATCACAAGATGAATAATCCGAGCAGCGGGGCTCCTGCCCAGCACGAGGCACTGGGAATGCTGTGTTTGCTTATGGGCTTCTTCCTCCTTTTCCTTTGTGCTCTGTTGCTTCTCTTGAGGGTCAGTCCTGGGAAATTCCCTGGCAGCTGCAGAGGTTTCGTGTTCCAGGCTTCATGGGGCAGCGCCATTTAAACCTCCCTGAGCTCCCAGCCAACGAGCTGGAAATAGCAAAACCAATCTTCTGTTCCACCCTGCCAGCATCCCTGCCTCTGTCCCGTGCAGGTTTACCTGTGCCTGGCTTCACCAACCTCCAAGTGCCAAAGGAGGTGGCAGAAGTGTAAGAAATCCCCCTAATGTGGGGTGCAGTCGTTTTCAGGTTTTCGGAGTGCTTTTGGGTGTGTGAGTGGGGAGGAAGCCTTGGGGAATGCTGCAGTCTCTTTCATCTGCTTGGAAACGTGGGTCATCCTCAAGAGTTTCACTTGGACTTGAATTTCTGAGTCCTTTGGCTGTCGCTGCATCGCAGTGCATTGCAGCAGATAACGCTGCTCTGGGAGCTGGGAGAGCTGATAAGGAATTGCTTTGGGCATTTTGTGGTGGGAGTGCCTTTGCCCTTGGATTTGGGCTGTTGAGCCGACTGGCCTTTTATCAGAGCAGTTGGTGCTTGGAAAGACAGAATGTTGATTTTATGTAGTGCTGCTGCCTTGAAATCGTCAGCAGTGCGCTGAGTTCACCTGATAACGAGCAGACAGGTGCAGTGCTGTTCTGCACCAGGAATAGGGTGAGCTCAACAGGTTTCTTGTGGTGGAACCAAACATTGCTGCCTGCCCAGTGCAGCAGAGCTGGAGTTATGGGGATGGTTTCCATAGGATTATTTCCATAGGTTGGTTTCCATGGGTTGGTTTAGAATCACAGAATCACACAATCACAAGGTTGGAAACGACCTGCAAGATCATCTGGTCCAGCCACCCTCCCATTGCTATCAGTACCACAAGCTACTAAACCACATCTCGTAGCTCCACATCCAGGCGCCTCTTGAACACTGCCGAGGCGACTCCACCACCTCCCTGGGCAGCCATTGCAGTGCCTGACCACCCTCTGAGAGAAAAAGTTTCTCCTAATATCCAACCTAAACCTCCTCTGGTACAACTTCTGGCCATTTCCTCGGATCCTACTATTTGCCTGGGAGATGAGGCCAGACTCTTTTGCACCACAGCCTCCCTTCAGGAAGCTGTAAAGTGCAATGAGGTGTCCCCTGAGCCTCCTCTTCTCCAGACTTCCATGGGTTGGTTTCCATGGGTTGTTTTCCATGGGTTGGTTTCCATGGGTTGGTTTCCATGGGTTGGTTTCCATGGGTTGGTTTCTATGGGTTGGTTTCGATGGGTTGGTTTCGATGGGTTGGTTTCCATAGGATGGTTTCCATAGGTTGGTTTCCATGGGTTGGTTTCTATGGGTTGGTTTCCATGGGTTGGTTTCTATGGGTTGGTTTCTATGGGTTGGTTTCCATAGGTTGGTTTCCATGGGTTGGTTTCCATGGGTTGGTTTCCATGGGTTGGTTTCCATGGGTTGGTTTCTATGGGTTGGTTTCCATGGGTTGGTTTCTATGGGTTGGTTTCCATAGGTTGCTTTCCATGGGTTGCTTTCCATGGGTTGGTTTCCATGGGTTGGTTTCTATGGGTTGGTTTCTATGGGTTGGTTTCCATGGGTTGGTTTCCATAGGTTGGTTTCCATGGGTTGGTTTCTATGGGTTGGTTTCCATGGGTTGGTTTCCATGGGTTGGTTTCCATGGGTTGGTTTCCATGGGTTGGTTTCTATGGGTTGGTTTCCATAGGATGGTTTCCATAGGATGGTTTCCATGGGTTGGTTTCCATGGGTTGGTTTCTATGGGTTGGTTTCCATGGGTTGGTTTCCATGGGTTGGTTTCCATGGGTTGGTTTCTATGGGTTGGTTTCCACGGGTTGGTTTCCACGGGTTGGTTTCCATGGGTTGGTTTCTATGGGTTGGTTTCCACGGGTTGGTTTCCACGGGTTGGTTTCCATGGGTTGGTTTCCATGGGTTGGTTTCCATGGGTTGGTTTCCATAGGTTGGTTTCCATAGGATGGTTTCCATATATTATTTCCATAGGTTGGTTTCCATAGGATGCGATGCTTTCCATCATCCCAACAGTTTGTTTGGTATCAATCAAGGCTCCTCCAATTCTAAATGCCTTTATACCACTTAGTTGGATGGGTTTGGTGCTAGAGGCCACACCACACGCATACAACACTGTGCTTCAGTCAGCCTCATTTTCTGCTCTTTTCTCTTCCTTGGCTGCAGATCTGCATCTCTCAGTGTTGGGCAGCACTGTGACCAGGCAGATGGCTCTGGGGTTGTGCAAAACCTACTTACGTGGTTTTGCTTCCTGGAAAGGCTTTCCTTCTTCTTCCCATGTGCCTCCAAGCCAGCAGTTTTTCTCCCTTTTTATAGAAGTTCTGATCACTTGCCCAGTTTTATTTCCTCCACAGTTATCTTTCAGTTCATTCCCAGACGTGTTTTGCAGTCAGAGCTTCTGCTGTTGTCTTCCTTGAAAGCCCCCCATCCCCAGCACTGCCTGACCTTTCCTTTTCCACTCGTGACTTTATCTCCATGTAACAACGACCTTTGTGGCTCACAAGAGTCAGCATGAAGGGAACTGGCCTGACACAGAGTTTTTCACAGTATTTTTCCATCTGCACTGGTGGCAGCCACCGTGGGTTGTTCTCTCCTGCTGATGGATGATGCGTGGCACTAAACAAAACCGAGGTCACTGCTGTCCTGCTAATTAGTTCTTGCATATAATAACCATAGTAACGAAGATATTAATAGGAACGAGTGTTTTGTCGTGTGGGTGCTGGTTGTGTGCAATAGGAGGTGATCAGTGGGTAATTGCAAACGGGGTGTGAGGCAGAAGATGTGCTGATGGGAGGATCTGTGTGGGGGGAGGGATGGCTCCAAGGAGAGCATTTTTATCTGTGTGTGGTTGGATGCAGCGTGGCAGCAGCTACAGGTGTGGACGTAGATGTTTTATTTATGGGTACAGCCTTGCTTTAAGATTGGCCAAACTCCTGCTTGCAGTCCGTGGGTTTGCAGCCTGTGGATCTCCCAGCTGGGGAATGGGGCAGGCCGTCATGCAGGAGTGGCATCATTTCTCGTCCATGTGCTCAGGCTGATGGTGGAGCAACCAGAGGAAGCCTCCTGTGCCCACCTACAGCATGCAGTGGGGGAATCCCAAAGGCCAAGGGTTCCTGTAAGGAGCACGGTGCTTTTCGGCTGGGTCCCAAGGAGCTGCTGAGGGTTCGCTCATCTGGGTGGCGTTTCTGCTTAGGAAAGAGCAAAGCCTTCATTTTGCCAAGAAGCTGGGATGGCACGGTTCACAACTGTGCGTCTGCTGATTGCAAACTGCAATGCCCACGTTATCACAAAAAGGGGAGAGCGGACAGCAGGGAAATCTCTGTAAACTGGCATAAGAAGGAGCCTTGGCCCAGCAGGGCTGCCCTGGTTACAGCGGTTAGAAGCTCCTAGCTGATACTTGCTGTCAACTGCACATCAGTCACCTGAAGGCTTTCCATGGGTGCAGGTGACTGGGATGCTCTGTTGGCTGTCAGCTGCAGATGCTGCCAGAAAGGAGGCTGTCACTCGTGGCATGGGAGTGCCTGCATTTGTGCTTGTGTACACAGCTGCAGAATGGCCTTGTGAGTCTACAGGACAGCTCTGTCAAGGCTGGGAAAGGATTTTCTGCGTTGACTTTTGTCATGGTAATGTGAGCAGGCTCAAAAGGAGTGCAGTCCTGTGAGTTCACTGGCTTAGTGCTGCATGACTTCTTCCAGAGTTGGGGGGAAAAAAAAGCAGCTGTCCCACACGGTCTGTTTTCCTAATAGTCACCGTTTTCATTCATTTTTCTCTAGGCCAGCAATCCGTGCTGCCAAAAATGCTGCTGCTTGTGAGTATGAATGCAGCAAGCCTGCCAACAAGCAGCTCAAATCGTCTGCTCTCACAGCTCTGTCCTTCCCCTGGCAGTGACCAAAGCGGTTCTTTTCAGTTTGGCATCTGTAAGCTTCCAAATTCGCAGGCATGCATCATCTCTGCTCCTTCTGTATTCCCCAGCAACGTGCATTGGATGCACCAAAGTGTCTCACAGCTGAGGGTGCTTCCACCCGCAGCGCCTCTGCTCTCATCTGCTCACAGGATTTCTGCAGCCTTTCCCTGCACATGAACACAGACGTTTGTTTCAGGCTGGGTCGTGTTTCACACCGCTCCCTCTTGCAGTGTCCGGTGTCGCAGCTTCGCCCTCCTTCCCCAGCACACCCAGGGCTATTTTTATTTTTGGCACACTGAGTGAAGCAGTTCTGTCGTGTTTTTCTTTCTGCAGCACCCACCCAAGCGCCCAGCCTGGGACGAGGATGTCAGACAGCTGCAGCTCCCCTCGCGAGCACAGCGGTGCCCTGTGCTTTCCTCTCTGGGATTGCTTTATTCTCAAACCCGGTCCTGAGTGAGCGTGATTACAGCAGCTTTCAGCAGAGCTGAAGGCAAAGCAGGTTGCCTCTGGAGGCGTTCAGCGTAACGCAGCGCCTGGGTTTGTGCATCTGGACTCAGCACCGACCTCACAGCTCCCAGCGCATCGCTGCGTCTCCTTGGCACCCAGCGCCACGTTTCTTTGTGCAGGGCTGGGATGCCGTGTTGATCTTGGCCTCCTGCCCGCGTTGTTTCAGCAGGAGGTCAAAGGGAGCGACGCGCTCGCAGCAAACGTGTCAGCTTCCCTGGGCTGCTGGCATCAGCAGCACCTGCGGCTCAGGGAGGTGGCAGATCACAGTGTCTGCCTGTGGTTCTGCAGCAGCAGGAGGCCACGCTGTGCAGGAGGGATGGAGGCAGATTCACAGTGCTGTGTCCTAACAGCAGCACCTCACCACCATCTGTGTTAACGAAATGCTGGGTTTAGAAGGGTACTTTTCTTGCAGGAAGCTCTGGGCTGGCAGACGGCTCAGGCAGCTTGGTAGCACAGCCCCATGGCTGCACCCACTGCCATCCCAGCAGCAGTGCTCTGCATCCTCCTCCCCTCTGCTCCCTTCAGCAGTGCCTGCACTTTGTGCACGATGCCCCGTGAGCCTTTCCCAGGGAATGGGACCGCGGTGCAGGAGAGAGGATGGAGACACGGGGCTGAGAGCCTTGTCCTGCTTGTGCTGACAATAGGGCCTTTCTTCTGCTTTCTGGAGCGCTGTGCTGAATGAGTATTAGCACAGAGGAATGTGGGCAGACCGGCCTGGTGCTTGGCGACCCTGCACATAGCAGGGGCTTGAAATGAGATGATCATTGTGGTTCTTTTCAACCCAGGCCATTTTGTGATCCGATGAAATGAGCTCTGGCTGCAGCAGAGAGTCAGTGAGCTGGCAGGAATCCTGGGGGCTGCAGTGCGATGGGTCCGTGGTGCTTTGAATGATGGCACAGGTTTTCAGGTTTGCAGCAGGGCGTGCTGCTCTTGACCGGCCCTGCTGGAATCGTTCCATCTGTCGCACTTAAATCTCAGGCCCAGAAGGGAAATAGCAGAATATATGTAAGAATAAAACCCTGGGAGAAGAAACTGGAGCAGAGGGAGCCGGGTGATGGATGCCAATGGGGAGGATGGGAATTTGGGCTGAGGGTTGGGTTGCAATGGACCTGCTGACCAGAGAGCCTGCAAGGCTGCTGTTTAAAGAGACAGCAATAAAAATAATTTATGAACGGGCTTTTCCTTTCCTCTGTTCTCATTACCTAGAAAAATGTGGGTAGCAAAGCACTTCATCACTGCTTTGACGCTCATAGGGGGAGCAAAGTTGTTCTCCCTCTCTGTGGTTTGGCTTTGGTTTGGGTTTGTTTCTGTCCTAAGGCTGTTCTGCTGAATTCTGCCTTTCCAGGGCTTTAGATGGAATTTTCAGTTCCTTGAATTTGATTTAAAAAGAAAAAATAAATAAAGTCCCTTCAAATGTCAAAATGTAAAGGGATTTTCTGGGTGTGTGTTTTTTTTTTTTTGGAAAAACCAACTTGCCTTGGGCCTAAAAATGTCAGCATGTTTTCACAAAGAAGAAAGCAGATTCTTTTCACTTAATGCGCCCTTCTGAAAGGCTCTGCGGGTCTCAGCAGCTCCGCTTGGCCTCCGTTTTAGAGCCTCTTCTTTCCTCTCCTGTAGGTTCACCAAGAATCTCTCTCCAGACAAAATCAACCTGAGCACCCTGAAGGGGCAGGGGCAGCTGAGCAACCTGGAGCTGGATGAGGAGGTGCTGCAGAATGTGCTGGAGCTGCCCACCTGGCTCGCCATCACCCGGGTCTACTGCAACAAGGCATCCATCAGGGTGAGCAGGGGGCTGTGGTTGCTTCCCTGGGTTCCACACACCTCATTTAATTCACCCTTCACTTAATATCCAGAGCACGCTGTGGCAAAGAGCCTCGCAGCTTCACTGCGTGCTTGCTTTTGCTGCATTAGTTTTAGCTGGTGACCTGGCACTGTTCTTCAGAAGAAATGGTGATGAATGACTCCCTGCTCGTTACCCCCAAGCACCTTAAGGTTTTACAGCCCTGCTTCCCCATTTCCTTCATTTTCCTCTTATTTTGATCGCTGAGCAGTTCTCTGTGTCTTCCCTCATCCCCAGTGGCTTGTTTTGTTAATGCTAAGGAGTGAACACAGACCTCCACCGGGAATAGGAAGCAGAGACAAATGGAGTGCTGCTGTCTGAAAGCCTGGCGATGCTGTGAGGCACCATAAAACAAATTGAGCTGAAGCCTTCATTGTTGAGAAGGCAGCTCTTGAGAGCTCTGTGAGTGGCACACCGAGAAGCAGTGCACCCTGCGCTCATTCAGCCACCGTTGGCTGCTTATGTGCATAATGGCTGAAGTTGGGCATGCATGGGCAGCTGCACTTTTGCACTCTGACCCCTCTTAGAAATTTTCCTCCTCGTGCTTTTTAGAGCACGAAATTGACTTTTTTTCAGTTGATGTGAAATGCCAGGCTGTTTAATCTCGGCTGGTACCAACCATAGCTGCATTACCTGGATGCATGGTTTTTTAGTACGTGGAGGAGACTTGCTATGATGGTTCTACTCTGCCAAATGAGAATGAAAACGAGCCTGTCTTACTCATCGGATCTGTTCTATCTGTTTTTAGAGTCAGATCTGCTTAATATAGCACCAAACGTTTGTCCTCCCTTGTACAAGAACTGCAGAGTAAGTGTGGCTGCAAGCAAATCAAATAGGATCATTTGGGTTTGTGTGGAGTCTTCAAAAGGGTGACCTGACTTTCAGCAATGGCAGCATTTTCTACAAAGGGAGTGGAGGAATCTGAATTTGACCCACTGAGCACCTATTACTCACGATGACATACGAGATGCAAAAGCTGGGCTGGGCTTGTAGGGCTGGCAGCTGCAATGTCTCACTTCCCTTTCTGAGCTGTTTGACTGGATTTAGAGATGATTGAAAGTCATAATGGTCGTTTCTCAGAGCAGAACTTTGAGCTCAAATGGTTCCCTGCAATATCTTAACTTTCCCAGTGCAAAGATGACTCTTGTGATCTTACCTTTATTGTTTCAGATCCAGTGGACAAAACTGAAGACGCACCCAATCTGTTTGGTAATGTTTATTCTCTTGTTCTCTTCCTAATTCTCTGAAGGGAAACTGTGCAGTGCCAACCTGAAGCCTCCAGGCCTTCAGAGCGTGGGGGAATTCTGAGAGCAGTTCTATTAGAAGTTGGGTGACCTCCCATGGGATTCCCATTTCCCTGCAGCATGGAGCTGGGCTCAGCCCTTGGGCAACATTGCCTGCTTTTTGCTGTTTGTTTCCCCCCACTTTTGGAGATTCAGATCACCCAACCATTCTGGCACTGAAAGGTGTGAGAACTTCAGCACGAGACTGAGGGATGTGAGGCGGCACAGCTGGGTTATGCCAGCCCTAGAGCCTCAGACCTGAGGGTGTAAGGCTGCCCTTGAGCCTTGGTCTTGTATTTACTGCTCCTGTCTTTTGTCTTCCAGTACCTGGACAAAGTGGAGGTAGAGATGCGGACGTGTGAAGAGCCCAGGCCACCCAATGGACAGTCTCCCATTGCTCTTGCAGCTGGCCAGAGGTCAGACCCCTGAGTCCCGTGGCTTCTTTCTGACGTGCTGGGGTATGGGATGGGCTGTTCTTCTCCAAAATCAACCGCTGACCTCTGGGGGTTCTGCTTTGAGTGGTTCCACACGTACCGCGCTCTCTCCCTGATGACTTAAAGGATTTTCTCTTTGCAGCGAATACGGCTTTGCTGAAAAGGTCGTGGAGGGGATGTTTATTGTTGTCAATTCCATCACTATCAAGATTCACTCCAAGGCCTTTCATGCTTCTTTTGAGCTGTGGCAGCTTCAAGGCTACAGCGTCAACCCCAGCTGGCAGCAGAGCGACCTGCGGCTCACCCGCATCACCGATCCACAGAGAGGGGAGGTGAGGAGCCTTCAGATGTTGCCTGACCTGGGCTACATCCCTGTCTGTGGATAGGGACTGCAGAGGAAAGACGTGTGGGACGGTTCTCCGTGCCCCTGTTTCATTCTGTGTCCTTAAAGGGTTTCCTTTAATCCTGGCAGCTGATGCAAATCTCAGCATCTCCCCATTTTCCTCTTTCTGGGTAGGTTTTGACATTCAAAGAACTCACCTGGCAGACGCTCCGCATTGAAGCAGATGCAACCGACAACGGTGATCAGGACCCTGTTACTACTCCTCTGAGACTCATTACGAACCAGGGGAGGATACAGATCTCTCTCAAGAGAAGGGTGAGTGTTTCACCATCCCTTGGGGGACGCCTTCCCTGCAGCCATGATGCACATTTCCTCCCACATCCCTCAGCCACGCTTCATCTCCTTCACAAGTACTGAGCCCGAGCTGATGTACTGCTCTGCTGTCTGTTGGAAACAGCTGTGTTCCAAACAAATGTCAAAGCTGTTTCCCTGGGGAGAATAATGTGTGTGGAGCAAGTCTTAAAATCTGTTTTCTCGTCCCAAGGAGATCTGTCATCTCTTTACTGGGAGCTGGAAGGCTGCTAGCTTTGCTTTTAGCTGTCAGCAGAAAGGTGATGATGAGTGGATGTGATGAGAAGTTGCAAAAAATTGTCATCTCTTGTTTTTCTGTCTTAAATGGCCAGCAATCAATTTCTCTTCCAAAGAGAAGGTAGCTTTGAGTCCTTTCCTTCTCAGATGAGAGCAGTGTGGGCATCCACCAGATGAGTTAACTTCTCTCTCAGATGAGTTTCAGAGCAGCATCTCTGCTTCGTGCTACAGCTTCTGTGTATTTTGAGGAGAGTGTAAAGTGAGCAGCTCTTAGTCCTTGACACCTTCTTGCTGTTTTCAGACCAAAGATTGCAATGTGATGGCATCAAAGCTGATGTTTCTCCTTGACGACCTTCTCTGGGTGCTGACAGACTCTCAGCTGAAAGCAATGATGAAATATGCAGAGTCTCTGAGTGAAGCCATGGAGAAGTCTGCTCAGCAGAGGAAGAGCTTGGCACCAGACTCTGTGCAGGTGAGTGAGCCGTAGGGAAGAGCAAAAGACAGAGAGAGCTCTGGATTTTTTGCTGTTGTTCTTTGGTTTCCATATAGCACAGTCTGTGAGAGCCTTGAAGCAGCAGTTCTAAGCAGCAACTTTGAACATCCCTCACCACTTGTTTTTTTATGTTTTTCCCCAGATCCCGTTCTAAGTAACTGATTGGTGAATGTCATACAATAAATACAGAGGACAAAAAGTGTTTCTAGGGGGGGAAGAGGAATATCACTGGTAGTGGAAGCTCTGGGGAAGGAGGGCAGTGCATGTAGTGCAGTGAGGTTACAGGAGGGATCATAAGGAATACTTTGCCCTTTTGGTCTCAGAATATCTTCCAAGATGAGCTCTTACCAAGCTCGTTGTTTCCTAACAGATCACACCACCAGCTCCCAGTACCCAGCAGTCCTGGTCTCAACCATTTGGAGTCAGCCCGAACGCAACCAGCATTGGTCAGTACTTCGACAAACACGACATGAAGGAGTCGTCCTACCACCTCCTCATCTCACGCCTGGATCTGCACATCTGTGACGACAGCCACACTCGAGAGTCAGGTAACAGAGAGCAGCAGCAGGAGCGAAAAAATCAGCCAGTCCTTTTCTTTCTCAGGGGAGGATTTTCCTCTGGAAACTCTCCTGATTGGTGCCGTGAGAAATGTGATTAATGGGAGCCTGGAAAGCAGTGGGGTCCTGTGATTTGGAATTTGAGATTCTAGATCTGGTTCCTATGGTATAAACTGTTGCCTTGTTACATTCAGTTGCCCTTTTCCTCCCCTAGGACGAGATTCTGATAGAGCTCTTTAGAAGCAGATACCAGCCATGGTAACAGTGATGGCAATCAGAGCAGCATTGTTCTGAATTATCCTGAGTCAGGGCTTGGATTGCAGAGCTGATCATAGTTTTCTTTGTTCCATTTCTCACAGGCACTTTGAAGCATGGGATGCTGGGAGGTGCCATGCAGCTGACCTTCAGGAGGATGGCTTTTGACTATTATCCCTTCCATAGGGCTGGTAAGGGGGTTTGTCATGCCAGCTTGAAAAAAGAACTTGAAGAATGGTGATGCTGTGAGGCGTCGGGCAGGGCAAGAAGAAAGAGCTGCACAAAGGACCTGGATCTGAAATCCTCGTGGTCAGGGTTGATCTGATTTACCTCTTGATGGAAGATTGACAAGTTGTTGGCAGAGTGCAAAGAAAGGAACGAGTTGCTGCCTGCCATAAAACCATAAAGTTGGAACTTTGAATTTCTTTTTGGGTTGCTGAAGCTCAGGACCTGATTCTGAGCACATCAATTAGAAAGGGTTGTGTCTCAGGAGAAAATCTGTTGGTTAAGTGAGGGTGCAAGAAAAAGTGTCACTGTGGCATTGTTCCCAATGCTCGTATTTGGAGTAGCAACAGAATGTGACATCAATCAAGGGGGATGCTTTACAGGTTGATATTGGTTTAAGGGGAACAAGAGAGTTGTGAGTATGCAGGAGCCTAATTTTAAAGCTGGTGTGTTTACTTCAATGCAGGAGATGCCTGCAAGCACTGGGTGAGGTACAGTGAGGCAATGGAGACGCGGGGACAATGGGCAAAAAGGTTGGTCAGTGAATTTCAGAGCAAGGTGGAGAAGCATTATGAAG